AATTCACGTGTTCACCTGATTAATAATAATGATAAAAAACTTCAATTTCAAGTATTTTTAATAAGAGGAGGTAAGTTTCGCTTTTACTCCCACTAAAACAATAGTCTATTTCCATTTCGTTAGAAATGAAAATGATAAGACGAAAATAGAAGGCCATAAAGAACTCGATGAGACCTTTAAAAAGAGGTAGGACACGACCCCTATCCCCTATTCAAATTTGGGGGGTTGTTCTCCCCCAGCTAGGGGGTTAAAACTACGGGGGTTAAAATAACTGAAAAATGGTTCCCCCTCAAATCAAAAATCGACGTGTCCGAGCGTTTTTCTAGATTTTCATTCCAAATCCAATAAATCGAGATGGACTGTTCTCCCTGGGACACCCTGTCCCTGTATAAAAGAATTGAATACATTTTTTGAAATAAATGCTCCAAAAAAATTGTTTTTTTTCCGAATGGGCGGGGGGCGCTGGGTTTTTGTAGCACCGGGCGGCAAACTACCTTAAACCGGCACTGGTCTCCCTTCTTGTAGATGGGGTCATAAATTGTCTTGGTCCACTCGTCCATTCTCCATTAGATTGTTCATTGCCGATGAGAGTGGTTCACTAATGATGGCTGCTGTTTTATTCAAAAATATGGCTGGAATGTTGTCAGGACAGGGGCTGCAGTCTATTTTGAGGGTTTTTTAAAACTTTGCGTTCTTCTGGTGTGAATTCGACTCATGTTATTCGGGCAACTGAGCCAACTGAACGTTCACTTCTTAGTCTTGGGAAATTTTGCACTGTTTCTCTGGTGAAGACTTTCTCAAATTGATTCACCAAGGTTTCTGAAGTCTGCTTTAAATCTCCAATTATATCTCCGGTATCCTGGTCTTTTAGAGCAATATGTAGGAGTTTCAATTGAGTGTTCTTTTTATGTAGGAATAGAATTGTTTATCAGATCTTGTGAGCAAACCGTGTTCATATTGTTGCTTTGCTTGTTGCAGACCATTTCTCAGTAAGTTATTTTGAGTTCTATATTCCTGGTAAGGCTGGGGAGTTTTGAGATTTTGCTACTTTTTCCAGAGGTTCCTCTTCTTTTGAATTTCTTTATTGAAGTGCTGAGAGTTTATCCACGGTTTTTGAGGATTTATTCCAGTATTCGCACTTTGTTGAATGATTGTTTATTTGCTGTAATACATACAGAGGGTGTCCCAGCTAAAACTAATATTAGTAAAAACTTATTTACATTTTTTCTGTTATCTTCGTTGTTGTTTAGAGGTTTTTAATAGAATTTTTTTAGAGAAGTTTTATTTTTTCATAATTTTCCACGAAAATTTCAAAGATATTCCCGAAATAAGACAGCGTTGAAAAGAAGCAATAATAAGCTTACAAATGAGGTGCCTTTCATCCCCTCATTCCATTTGAGACTTTAAGGGTGGATGTCACCGCCGCGTGGGGGTTTCAACTTACGGGTTGAAAAATATTCGCAGATTAATTTCCAGTCGAACGCAAATTTCACGTGTTAGCCGTTTTTTTGCTTTTAAAATGAGAAATGCTTTTAAATTGCCTACACTTTATTTTTTCCCAAAATAGATTTTGACATTGAAAACTTTGAAACATAAACAATAACGCTTGACCCTGATTGGTCGCAAAATGAGGTGTTTCTGCAGGTTGACATCAGTTTTAGAATAGCGACCAATAAGCGGCATTAGCGGCATTGTTTATGTTTCAAAGTTGACAATGTCAAAATCTATCTTGGGAAAAAATAAACTATAGTTTCGTTTTGGGTGGGACGCGTCATTGTCAAATTTTTTGACATAAATGTCAATAAATGTGGTAGGTACCGTTGAAAAGAGAATTTAAAGAGCTTTCATTTAAGGGGTCAGTCGACCCACTTTCCCTATTTAATTTTTAGGGGTTGAACGCGCCCCCGGTAAGGGATGACAGGTAGGTCATTAAAGATGAATTTGAAAGTTGTCCCCTTTCATGCAAAAATCGACGTGTCCGAGTGTTTTTCATTTAAATAATTCTAAATATGCAAAAACTCCTCTGTTTCGTTTTAGCTGGGACACCCTGTATGTCCACGTTGTTTGGAAAACTTCGTTTCAGATACCTATTTTTTGGTTTATATTGTCGTAATTAATTAGTTTCCTGATTTTCTTCGTTATGAACTTGGTTTGTGTTTATCTGTGCTACAGCGTTAACTACAACCTGATTACTTGAGGGGTAAGTCTGCGTAAATAATTTCCTATCGCTTACCAGTAATAAATCAAGAAGTTATTTTTGATCGCTTCCAATTCTGGTGTTGAAATCTATTATCTATTTAGCATTGTTCTCTACATAAAAATTTCGGAATTCCTGTGCGCTGGTTAATTTTGTTGGTTTAGTGATAAAGTTTTCCAGTCTATTTGTCTATAATTAAAGTCTCTGAACACTATAGTGTTGGTCCAGAATTCGAACACTTGATTAAGGTACTCTAAAAATTCTCTGTTTGTTTCTATAGGTATGTCTTGTGGTCCTGTAGGTATATATTATGCATGCTAAAGAGAGCTTAATAAGTGTTGTGAGTGTGGACACACTGTGGGTTTGACGCCTGCAATCTATTCACGTACCTACATGAATTATAACTCCACCCCACCCTTTTTTCTGTTTTCTCTGTATATATGTCTCAGGTGTTTCGTTTAATGAAACCTAGAAGTCTAAAAGATTTTAAGACTGTATTATCGTCATTATCGATGTGTTTGTTGAGAGATAGGTAGGTCTTTTTCAAAGGTGACTCTTAGGTCTCTGAAGGTGTCGACTGTTTCCAGATTGGCGTTGTTGATAATGTATGTGGGCAGTATAGGATTTATGAACTTAGTTACATTGAGTATGAGAAGATTTGACTTTCACCAAGCGACCAAACTCTTCAAATCCGGCTGGCCGCTGGAGAAAGGTAAAGTGCCCGTCCACAACCACGAAAAACTTCAAGTCGTCAGCGTGTATTAAGCAAAGGGATTGGAAGCATTGGCGACGTCACTTATGAAAGAAACAAACAGAATCGTGTGCCATCCGCAAGGGATCCCAGAACTATGAACTTGTGGGATACTGCATCACACATACCAACTCTTTGATATCTTTCTGTTGAGTTCGATTCTATAAATTTCAGAAAACGAGCACCGAAGCCCATATCTGAGAGTTTTTTTAGTAGCAACTTACGGCACACACTATCAAAGGCCTTTGATATGTCCGTGAAGATCACGTTCACCTGTTTTTCTGATTCTAAAGCTTTCGTTAGGAACTGTTGTTAGATAGCAAGATTTGTAGCAGTGAATATTCCCTTGCAGAAACCGCGCTGTTCGTTAGCAATGTATATAGTTATACTAAAGCATGAATACACATTTGAGAATAGATTCCATAATTTTAGGAATGTGCGATAGTAGAGATACGCCTCTATAATTATTCACATCAGCGCTATCTCTTGATTTGTGGATAGGAAAAAGTGTTGAGATTTTCCGACTTCTGGGAACAATGCCAATATCGAAAGAAATTTGGGAAAATATGCTTCAGAGGTTCCATTAGAGATGTGCAACAGCCTTTAAGAAACACTGGGGAGAGACCATCCGGTCCAGGGTTGGGATCACGACAAGTAGAATTCTACTTTTATGACGTCAGGTTGCCTAGCAACTATTATCATCGCATGTACTGTACGCGATAAATAGGTCGCGGGTGACGTCATGAAAGTAGAATTCTACTCGTCGTGATCCCAGCGCTGGACTCTTTGAGGCGTCGAGATCCAGAATTTTCTTCTGTCTTTCCTCGACCGTGAAGAGATAATCAGAGAGGTATGTTCCAAAAGGGTCTAAGAAGTCTTCCTTGATCTCAACATCCTTGTGGTCAAAGTAACAATTCTTGAAGTGTGTGGCAAAGAGTTCAGCAATATGTTGAGGGTTCGAAGAACGGATATTGTTAAAGCGCATCTGATTCGGCAAGCCTGCATCTCTCTTCAAAGATTCTATAAATGACCAGAAGTGTTTCACATTTGACGGAATTAAATTCTACGCTTCGGTAACATGTAACAGGTAGCACATGTCACTATGGTATTTCATGTCTTTTCAGGCTTCAGAATAGGCTTCATAGTCCGTTTGCTGTCTTAATCTTCTGTACTTCTTATAGAGTCGATTTTTATGTGCAATCAACTTTTTCAGCTCAGAGTTGAACCATTTAGAATATTTGTCGAATTGTCGACCCTGATGATTTTTTTGGAACATACTTATTAATTACTTGCTGTATAACTTCGTACAAACTAGCGACAGCTTTGTTAGAGTCACTATTAATTAAACACAATCAATACTGTGGAAGTAATTTTTCACTTCCGTATAGTCCGCTTGTTTAAATAGGTAGATAGTAGTAGGATCTTTGGCTTTTAGCGTTTGTCTACTTCCATATGAGAAACTAAGTTTCAAAGGTGGATGTATATCAACCACCCTACACAGCGGAAAGTCACAGGTAGAGAAAGTTCATTTGCGAAAATACGACCCGGGGATTTATTGTAGCTGTTCTTCACATTGTTAGGTTGCTAATGTCCCATGAAAAACATACTATCTATCACAGTTTGCTCGGCCAAGAGTGAGTAGATTCCGGCACCAGAAAATCATCCTATGTGATCCATTTGACATTGGGAAAATCGAAGTATCCGAATATGATCTGCATATTTGTTTTTCAATGATTCACATACTGTTACAAATGACTTGTAAGTCATCTCAGGGGAACTTGGAGGGATGTATGCTGATCCGATCATATTAGGCAATAAATAGAAAAAAATTGACAACGCCACTGTAAAATGTTCTGGAGCCAAAAAAAAGTATAAACTTTGGAATTCAAACCATGTCAATATTTATTCTTTCATAGTTTCCAGGATACCAATAATTCAACTATGCACTTGTTACTTCAACCATTTCCATTTCCAGTCCCTATGGATTAGTTTGGACTTTAGACCCTATATTAATATATCAGAAAAAGGAGAATGAAAAGGTAGCAAAAGAGAGGCGAGTAAAAATAAATCTATATTGGCGTTTGTTACATTTATTTAAAATTAATTTGTTAAATAATTATTTGAAAATAAAGTTGTTCAAAAATATTTTAAAATTACCTACATCAATGTCTCATTAAAATTCAAATAACAATAACATAATATTTACATCATGTTTTATGAAAAATCTTAGCTTAAAATTTACGTATATCTATAAAATCTAGTTTATTGATGACCCCAGTCTTAGTAGAAAATTCATCTAAATTATCACAAATTTCACTATTTTATAGCTGAGATCACTATCAGGACGGCGGCAACTGCAAAAAAAAATTACAATTATTGTGGGTAATATTAGCAAAAAAAAAACTTACATTTGCACCAACTGTAACCAAATACCGATTCCTATACCGTGTATCATCTGAAACTGAATCGTTGCTTTGAGTATTTGAAATATCTTGGCTAGGAGGCTCGGTGGCTATAGGAACTTCTTCCGATGACAAGATTCTGTGTCTTTCGTACACTTCATTTCTAGAAAAAATTAAGATTTTTATTACAAAACAATTATTTTCACAAGATCAGTAGAGCGATAACTGATAAGAGTTACTTCAATTTCACAATAATTACACTTGAAAAACTTAATATGAGTCTCATGATAATAATTATTGAAATTTACCAAGGAAATAATTATTATAAGATAAGGCTATTAATCTTTCAACAAGAGTGAAACACAATGGTTTAGTTTCATGTGTGATTCTGGCCTGGTATGTCAAAGAGAATTTGAAATAAATACACATACAATGTATGTAAGTACTTACCTACTTATAGTGGTTTTAGAATATGTATTATTGTCATGTGTAAATTATTAATAAAAATCTATTTGTTACTGTGTTTTAATTTCCCTTTTTTAAAAACAAGATTTTCAATGAAAAGTTGAGTTGTGGTTTTGGTTCCAATCAGAGCCAGTTCTGGATCTCAAACAGATAGTTATTATTAAACCAAAACTAATTGTAAAACTGATTTCAGAATGTATCACTTGTATTTCAGATTCATCAATTCTAGTTCAGAGTGCGTCAATTGTATTCCAGTTGTGTAATAAGTTTAATTTCAGGAAGTTTTATTTGTATTTCAATTTTTTTAGTTGTAGTTCAGAAAACGTAATTTGTGTTTCAGTTGTATTTCAGCAACAGTCACTTGTATTTCAGTTTGGTCACTCGTATTTCTGAAAACGTCATTTGTGTTTTAGAATTCGTCAAATGTATTTCAGATGTTATCAATGTAGGGTATTAAATAAAATTTATAATGAGTCACCCATTCACCAAGCTCGTTTTGATTTGGGAAAATCTGCGTAGGTACCAGCTTTCCATGCGCGTCACATTACATAGTACGATAGTACATATTATAGTACAGAGATCATACAGGATGATGTTCAACAAACTGAAATTAGGTAAGAGACTGTGTTTCAGGGTACTAAATACCCTCTGAAACCCAAGCGCCGAGGCGTTTTAGAAAAATCCCTTTAATTAAATAGCTAATATCTACAAATCAAATCAAAAAATGCTTTATTGTCTAAGAACAAAATTCTCGTTGACAAAGCTGTAAAAGGGGAAAAAAAAAAGTATACAAAAACAATTTCAGGGCCATACAGTACCAAGATTAAAATAATTAAAATAAAAATACAATACAAGGTCAGACCAAAACAATATAGTTATTTTCCTAACAAGTACGCAAAGTGATACTTTCCCGCACGAAAAAGCAGTAAGACGAACGACGCGAAGCGGAGTTCGGATAAGCTTTGAGTGCGGGAAAGACACTTTGCGCAAGTGTTAGGAACAATACTTTTTCTACGAGTGTCCAAAGATTTGCATAGCATCCAGAGAGGAGCGTTACCTAATCTTCTTAAATATTTCCAGATGCTCAAAACTAGTCATTTTCTCTCCTAGTTCAATGTATTGTGTTTTTAATTTTTTTTTTTTTCAGTGATCAGCTTTACTTTATGTGCAACATTGGTTGTGCTAGCGAGGTTTACTTAATTAAAATTTGAACAAGTCGTTAAGTTTGTTTTTCCTGCCAAATTGAGACTTAATTTACCACGACGATATTTGTTCATGTGACTTGTTAAATTAGTTTTACGTAGCCACAAGTATAGCATCTTCCCAAAATATATTATCCATTTTTGCTTGCATTATCATAGATCTTGCTTTGTCTATTGGTGTCTGATTCATTCTTTTCGCAGCACCATTAAGTTGGGTAGTATATGGAAGAGTAAAACTTACAGTCCAACTTTATAATCTGATACTCTAAAGAAATGTGAGTTGACTCCCCATGTCAACGGTCACCTGACATCATATCTATTTTTGCTAGATTTTTCCTCCCCTCGCTCCTTATATGGAAAGTGTCAAATTAAAAAAGCTAAACATTACCTGAATGCCTTTCTTGGAACGGAACAAAAATAACAGGCCCTTCTTTCTGAATATAAGTTTATCCAGAAACCCACAAAACATTGAAAAATCGAGTTTAAATGTGGTTACTATCAGTGGCGGATCCAGGATTTTCTTCAGGGGGGGGGCGCAAGCTTAGAATTATCAACAATGATTTCTTGAAAATTTATTTTCACTTTACTTATACGTTAAAGAATGTAGGTACAGGGTGGTTCAATTTGGACACTTTTGATATGAAACGTCAATTTCTGAGCCAGATACAAAAAAATTAACCCCCCACTCTGCTAACGCTCAAATTTCATGGAATTTTGATTGGTGCAAACACTGCAAACCGCCTTTTGATACCCTCAACCGTTTTGCCGCTAGAGGATGTTTCTCGAATTTGAACAATATTTTTATTATTTTTATTTTTATTATATATGAAAATAATTGATTTCTGTATAAACTTTATAGAGGTACTTTTCCATGCAGAATTCAATGTCTTTCTCAATTATTTTAATTCGTCTTATTTTTTTTTTAAATAAAATACCCTATTTATACATTAATAACTAATTGATAGCTCTATTATTGCTTATTATAATGATACATATAAGGTTTAATAGGTCTATCTCTAACAGTTTTCTAGAGACAAAAATTATAGATGTTTCAATCAAAAGAAACAATTTGTTAGAAGGAGACCTATCTCATTTTCCTTATATAAAGTCCTTTTCTAACACATTGTTTCTTATAACAAAAAGAGAGATACAATTTTTTTGCTGGAAAACCGATCGAACTTTGTATCATTGAAAGCAGCAAAAGCAGAGCTATCCAATCAGTTATTGATATACAGGGTGTTCCTAAATATCATGTACAAACTGAAGGGCGTGATTCTTTGGTTTCTTTTATGACTAAAATTTCTGATAAACATAGGTCCGCAAACGCTTCGTTACCTGTCTACGGGGTATTGAAATTTTAATGTATTCATATTGAAAATGAGCAGGATTAGCAGGAATATGGCGGCGAGAAGTGTCTTACCTGTAGATTGCTATTGAAAATGAGCAAGAATATGGCTGCGGGACCTCTGTTGTCGCCACTGTAGGTTTATTCAGTAACTTTAGTTTCATCTAGCTAATTACAGAGCAAACGTTTGACATGTACAATCATTCAGCTCTTATTGCGTAACCTAGATTCCAAATTTGAACTAAATCCCTCAAAAATTGCAGGAGCTATAAAGAAAAAACTAAAAAAAATATTAAAATTTCAACACCCTGTAGATCGGTAACGAAGCGTTTGCGGACCTATGTTTATTAGAAATTTTAAAATAAAATAAACCAAAGAATCACTTCTTTTCGTTTGTACATGATATTTAGGAACACCCTGTATAGGGTGTCCGGTGTCCCATCAAAACAATCGAACTCTGGTTATTATCTTGAATTCGGGAAAAAATAGAAAAAAACTGAGAAAGTCACTGGATTCTCTAGCCACAAAACGGTTGAAGATATAAAATTTGAGCCTCAGAGTGGGGGGTTGATTTTTTGTATCTCGCTCAAAAATTGGACAACCCTGTACATATCAAAACACCGAAAATAACAAATGAAAATACCTATTCCAATTAAAAATATAACACATTTATCTGATAAAAACAACACAAATTGAACAATAGTGTAGCTTGGAAAATTTTTCAATAACATTTTATTAGAAAATTTTTCCATAAACTTTCATTGGAAAATTCTTTTATAAAATTTTTCTATCTATAATTTTAAAAAAAAATTTAGTAGTTTTTGAGGTCTCAGGGGGGGGCGCGCAAATGAGTGCGCAAAGTAATAACTTTGCGCACGCAAGTAGAAAAAAATCATTTGAACAGTCATTAAAACAAAAGATGAAGTCACTTTAAAAATCAACATAAATATACGCCACTGAACATCTAAAAAAAACTTGATGTCTCTACAATTTTTCTCTCCTGACATTTTTTTCCTAAAATACTTAGTTTTGGAGTTGTAATGTAAAAAAAGGTAGATTTCACCCCACTTAAGAGGTGGTTTTGGGGTGACAGGCTCAACGCTTCGGCGCTAGGGTTTTAGTGAGTATTGTACCCTAAAACAAAGTCTCTTACCAAATTTCAGCTTGTCTCTAATTTGTTGAACGTTACCCATATGAAACGATGGATAGGCCCTGTACTATTACGCTTTCCGAAATAAAATTAACTAATCTGAAATACAATTTACTAATCTAAATCGCAATTGACATTTTCTGAAATCAATCTGGCGGTCTCTGAAATACATATGGAAAAGGTGTAGAGCTGATTCTGATTTGGAAAAAAATACTGAAACAGAAGTGTGGCTGGATGAAACTGGATAAAGTTATGTCAGTTTTATTGAAGTATACTCTAAAGAAATACCAAAATTCAATGAATTTATAATACATTTTGGGATGGAGGCATTATCTTGTACTAATAAAAGTCACACAAAATGAGCCAACGACATTGCATTTAAGAATACTATATTTTCCAGATAAAATTTGTATTAACAGACCTCAACAACTCTGTACAAAAGGGCAAGCAGTTTCATCCTACAACATTATAGAGCCACAAGAAATGAAGTTACTGCAACTTTTGAGGCAGGCCTCAGATTTGTAAAAAAAAAGATTCCCATGATTTCTGACAAAACGCAAGTGTCTGCTCTCTATTGATAAAGTTTGGTTTTAGATCTTCTCCAGATTTCATTCAATATCTAACTAATAAAATTTTGTATTTGTACCTAGTTCATTTTACTCTCGATTTTACTTAAGGATTTATTTGCTTGCTTGTGTGTTACGAATTCGAAATGTTAAAAATACAATTATTGTAGGTTATAGATCCACATCAAGCTAATTTTCTTTAACAGCGTAAGTCAAGACGAAATCCTGGTGTTACTTTGTCTCACATTTCAACCTTATCCTGAGAACATTTATTTATTTGCTGGTACTGACTGCAAATCACTCCCTTGCTGGGCCTTGCTGGTTGATAAAGAAATATTAAGAGAAAAAGTTCTAATATCATGCAGCCCAAATAAATCATGCTCTATAGTTTATTTTTGTTACTTTCATAGGAAAGACTCTAAAATAAGAAAAGTTTTGAATTGTATGATGAAACGCTTAAATTAAGATTTATTTATAAGTTACAAGAGAAATAATTATGTAGTTAGAAATCATCAATTAAAATATACTAAAACTTACAACAATTGTTCTTGATACTTTTTCCTTCCAGCAGGTGTCATATTGAGAATACCTTTTTGTCGCTGGTCTAGTAACAGCAACAGGGCAGTAAAAACAAAAGCCACTAAAAATCACCAAATTATAAACTAAAAAATTATAAAAGTAATTGCACTTACAAATTAAACTCCCAATAAAAAATTCGCTAAGCACCCTGTAGCCCCAACTTTGAATAATCCAGCCTGTTATTATTGTTATAATGGCCAAGCCCAAGTTTTGTATGGCCTGGCAGACTCCGTAAGCTGTTCCCAGTTGGTATTCCGGTATTATTAGAGCTACTAAGGGCCACAGACCACTTGCAAGGCCTGAATAAGCCAAACCTAACATAGACTATGGAAAAAAAAAATTATTAAGGTTAATGTGCCAACTTGTGATATAATAAAAGTAAAAATATTCTTACCACTCCAATATAAGGATTGACAGTGGTGAATCCTAAAAGTAGATGCGCCAAAACAGTTGATATCACAGATAAAAGAATCCACAATATATTCAAGCCGATTTTATCGATTAATATCCCAGTAACCGGAGAAGCGAATCCAGATATCAAATAAACTAAGCTGCAAATTCTGTCTCCTTCTTCTTTGCTCATATCAAATCGGATCATGAAAAATTCTTGTCCAACACTTATGAATGGAAATATAGCTACATAGTAGCTGACACAAATGCAGCTGACTAGCCAAAAAGTTAATTTGAAATCTTTAACATCAGTTATTCTAACAACTTCTGTGGTTTGAGTTTCTGTTCTTCTTGTCATCCTTTCTGCCCTTTTGTCCATAAATCCTAATATCAAGGAGCAAAGCATGGATAAGAGACATGTTGCAGAGGCTAAAAATAGTTAATTAGAAAATAGTGTTTGAAAATTGAGTTATTTTTTTTTTACCTATTAACAAAGCAATTCCTAAAATATGCGAACCGTCAAATGATTTTAAAACCCAATCGTAAATAGGTTCCATTACCCAGAAATTTACAGTGCTGCCAATTCTGGCAAAGCTCAACTGAAGTCCGAAGACCATATTTAGTTCTTTGCCTTTGAACCATAGTACAGCGTAGTTGTTTTGGGCTACCGCTAAAGATTCAGCACCAATTCTAAAAACAAAAAAATTGAGAAAAAGCTAGTTGATGGTTGGTTATTTACCCAAAAATAAATCGTCCGCATATCATAAGCCAATAATGATTCAAATAGGCAGCTAAAGAGAAAACTAGTTGCCCCAAAAAGGTTAGGCCCATAAAAATGTTTGTTCCGGCCCTAATTCCAAATACCCTGTCGATAAGAAAGCCACCAATAAAACACATTACAACATTGGGCCATGAATAAATCGAATATAAAGCTGTATATTGGGTTTCTGTTAGATTCAAGTCTTCTTTGAATCTTTCTTGAAGAGCACTGGGGTTGTCGTAGCAGAAATATGAACCTGAAATCAACAATTTTGTAAGGCTTTACAACGTAGTTTAATGAAGGTAGAAAAATACTCTAACATAAAAAACAGAACAGAATCCTCAAACTCATGTCTATCAACTTAGCGAGACAACTTCGAAAAATCGATTTTCCATTATGCCAAGAATTTGCCGCTTTTTTGCCGCTAATTAAATGTGGAATTAAAAAATTTGCCGCTCTTTTGGTTTTTTCTTAATTACGTGTTTTGCTAACTTGACGTCAAGATAGCGAGACAACATCGCTAAATATGTCAGCACTAAAAAACTAGGTACGTGAAAATTTGCCGTTTTTTTGCCGCTAATTAGTTGTGAAAATCAAAAATTTGCCGGTTATTTTTTTTTCATAAAAAATAAAGTTTGAAAAAAAAAATCATTTGTTTCGCTAACTTGACGTCAAGTTAGCGAGACATTATCACCAAAAATGTCGGTACTGAAAAATTGAGTGAATGGGAATTTGCTGTTTTTTTGCCGCTAATTAGTTGTGAAAACCAAAAATTTGCCGCTTTTTTTTACAAAAAATCAAGTTTGAAAAAAAAAATCATGTGTTTCGCTAACTTGACGTCAAGTTAGCGAGACAATATCACTAAAAATGTCGGTAGTGATGAGTTGAGTGACTGGAAATTTGCCGTTTTTTTGCCGCTAATTAGATGTGAAAACTAAAAATATGCCGCTACCTTTCTTTTCATAAGAAAATCGTGTTCGAAAATAAAATAGTGTTTTGCTAATTTAACGTAAAGTTAGCGAGATCACTAAAAATGTCGGTAGTGATAGATTGAGTGAGTGGAAATTTGCCGCTAATTATCTCTTTTTCTACAAGAAAATATCGCGTTTGAAAAAAAATATCATGTATTTCGCTAACTTGACATCAAGTTAGCAAAACAGTAAACAGTATCAATAAAAATGTCGGTAGAAAATTTTATTCATCTGTCAAAACTGGTATTCGAACCATAAACTGGGCTCTGTGTCATTTGCGCGACAGTCGTTTGCGCGAGGGAGGAAAGCGCGATACTAAACACGCGAGGGACAAAAGCGCGACGGAACAAAAACGCGACTGCATAAAAGCGCGAGAAACAAAGGCGCGAGCGAGAAAAGCGCGAGAAACAAAAGCGCGAGGGACAAAAGCGCGACGGAACAAAAACGCGAGGGAAAAAACGCGACGGAACAAAAACGCGACTGGAGTAAAGCACGATTGGACAACAACGCGAGGTATCTAACTATCAACGAGGACTGTAAGCAAAAGAGGGACACACAGCCTTACTCAAACTAACCCATACTAACCTGTTGCCCTAGTGCGATCTAGTCTTCGTTAAATAGAATTTTATTTGAAAAACAAGGCGCGGTCAAGGGACCCTACGCTATAAATAAATTGACTGTTTTTTTGGATAAAATGCTAACTTATGAGTACTAGATCGCACTAGGCGGACGGGTTATTTTGGGTTAGTTTGAGCAAGTCTGTATTTGCTTTATTATTATTGGTTCAAATTGATTTCGCAATACAGACTTACTCAAACTAACCCAAAATAACCCGTCCACCTAGTACGATCTAGTCCTCGTAAGCATTTTATTTAAAAAAACAAAGTTAATTCACTGATTGATTGCTCAGGGTCTCTTGAGAGCGCAGTGCTTTTTAAATAAAATGCTAACTCACGAGGACGAGATTGCCCTAGACGGACGGGTTAGTTTGAGTAAGTCTACATAATTTTGATTAATATTGGAAGAATTTGATGTTTCCCTCTTTTGCTTAGAGGTCGTCGTTGTAAATGTCGCTCTTTTAATTTGTCACTGTTCTAAATCTCGTTGTTTACATATGTTGCTCTTTTGATATGTTGCTGTTTTTTTAGATGTCGCCATTTTGAATATCGCTGTTCCAAATGTCGCTATTTTGATATATCGCTTTAACAATATGTCGCCTTTTTGATGTTGCTATTTTAAATATCGTTCTTTTGAACCGGAGCCACCAAAAATATCTTGTATTTTGGAAAACGATCTCCAGTTCTCGTAGTAAGGCACTTCGCGTTCTTGGCCAATCGGGCTTTATCCAGTCGCGATTTTGTTCTGTCGCGCTTTTGTCCCCTCGCGCTTTTGCTTCTAGCGCTTTTATCCAGTCGCGTTTTTGCGCAGCCGTGCGCTTTTGTCCCTCGCGCTTTTGTTTCTCGCGCTTCTATCCAGTCGCGTTTTTGTCCATCGCGCACTTGTCCTGTCGCGTTTTTGTTCCGTCGTGATTTTGTCCCTCGCGCTTTTCGTATCGCGTAAACGGTTGTCGCGCAAATGACACAGATCCCATGCATAAACTGGCATTTTTTAATTGTTGATTTCAACCAATCAGATTACGATTATTTACGTGATAATTTGTACTAGTGCAGGATTATCGGATTGGATAATTGCTTACTAACGGGTGGCATTTGACATTTTTTCTGATTGCTGACATTTTATACTTACGAGGATATACTAAAAATTTAAATTTTTGATTCATGAAATTCTCTCATAAAATACAACTAGAGCAATGGAAATATATCTATAATTTTTGAGAAATTTGCTCTCATGCATTTTTAACTTGAAAAGGCACTCGTCCCTCGTGCTTTTTTTCAACTAAAAATGCATTGGGGAAAATTTGCCAAAAATTATCGATAATTTCCATTTTATCACAATTTGATTTTATTTCTAATTTTATTTTATTTTGTGTATAAATGAGCACACGATATTTCGCTTTCTGATTTTTGAAACCTATAAGGCTTCAATAGAGTTTTCCTAAGCTAAAGAAAAAAAAAATGTAAAACTATTCTCAAAAAATTTAGAAATAAATATTTGCTCCAACAAATGTTGAGTTTCACTAATTAAAATATACTTACAGGCTGCATAAAAATCAAGGGTGGGAGATCATTTACTTTTACTCACCTAATTTTATACTGCCCTTCGTTTTTTGTGTTGATGTCGGTCTAACTTAACGGCAAGCTTGCGAAACACAAGTTTTTCTCAAACACGATTTTTTCATGGAGAAAAAGAGCGGCAAATTTTTGGGTTTTCACATTTAATTAGCGGCAAAAAGCGGCAAATTTCCACAGCTTTTCTCTACCACTCAATTTTTCTCTACCGACATTTTTAATGATACTGATTTGCTCACTTGATGTCAATTGAACAATGATATTTTTTTTCAAACCCGATATTTTGCACTTACTCAATTTATCACTACCGACATTTTTAGTGATCTCGCTAACTTTACGTTAAATTAGCAAAACATTATTTTATTTTCGAACACGATTTTCTTATGAAAAGAAAGGTAGCGGCATATTTTTAGTTTTCACATCTAATTAGCGGCAAAAAAACGGCAAATTTCCATTCACTCAACTCATCACTACCGACATTTTTAGTGATATTAGGGACATAAAGCTTCCGTATTTTTTGGTCGGTATCCGTATCGGTATCGTACTGCGCATGTGCAGAAGCGATACGGAGGCCGAGATACCGTACGTACAACGTAACGTTACGGCTCTCTCGCGGTATCCGTATCGGTAACGTATCTTGACATTCCTGACGCCTGTGACAAATTTTAAATAAATATAACCTCACTTTTTTTCCGGGTTGATTTAATTTGTTTAGTTTATACTTTCTTGAGTTTCTTTGCGTGTTTAGTGCTTCTCTATCGCAAAAAGAATAACAATTTTAAGGTTTGATATAAAAACGCCGGAGTTTTGACACAAAAATTTCTAGGTATTGAGATGCGTTTACGTTTACCGGAACAGGGTTCGCTTTAACAGCCTTTTCGCTTGTCAACGTATCTAGTTGCGTAACGGATACCGATACCGATACCGGCAAATTATTTCAAGTAGCTTTATGTCCCTATTGTCTCGCTAACTTGACGTCAAGTTAGCGAAACACATGATTTTTTTTTCAAACTTGATTTTTTGTAAAAAAAAGAAGCGACAAATTTTTGGTTTTCACAACTAATTAGCGGCAAAAAAACGGCAAATTTCCATTCATTCAATTTTTCACTACCGACATTTTTAGTGATAATGTCTCGCTAACTTGACGTCAAGTTAGCGAAACAAATATTTTTTTTTCAAACTTGATTAATTATGGAAAAAAAAAACCGGCAAATTTTTGGTTTACACAACTAATTAGCGGCAAAAAAACGGCAAATTTTCATCTACCTAATTTTTTACTGCTGACATATTTGATGATGTTGTCTCGCTATCTTGACGTCAAGTTAGCAAAACACGTAATTAAGAAAAAACCAAAAGAGCGGCAAAATTTTTAATTCCACATTTAATTAGCGGCAAAAAAGCGGCAAATTCTTGGCATAACGGAAAATCGATTTTCCGAAGTTGTCTCGCTAAGTTGATAGACATCTCAAACTCGAATGGAGTCATGTAGTGAGTTTGTAAGATAATAACATAATAATAAAGAGCAAGCTCGAATGGAGAACAAGCCTTCTGAGCCTCTATTCTCGAAACCGGAGAATAGCATTCTCCTGAGACAGTAGCGCACCCAGAAAATATGTTTGGGGGGGGCCCTACATAGGTTGTGCCTTGTGACTGAAAATAAAAAAAAAAAATTGAGGAGTCAAAGTGCCACGTCCTGAATTTGTTACATTTTTTTATACGTGAAAATTCAGTTTGGGAGGGGCGACCTGGGGCTCTCCCCTGGGTGCGTCACTTTCCAGGAAATCTGGGAAACTTTGGAAAATGACGATTTTTTTTTCAAATATCCAGAAGACTTTGAGCTTTATCATACCAAAATTTGATTAGAAAAAAACCAAAGATAGCGGAGTCACGATTTTTTTAATCCCAGAGAGACACTAGTAATATTTTTACAATACATAGGTACTGTGGCCTGATTTTTGATCTTTTTCCTAAAAATCTAGGAAGCTTTGGAAAATGAAGATTTTTTTTTAAATATCCAGAAGCTTTTTAGCTTCAACATATCAAAATTTGATAGGAAAAAACCAAGGATAGCGGAATTACGATTTTTCACTCCCAGAGAAGTGATATTTTTACAATACAGATTATAGCCTAATTTTTGATTTTTTCCTAGAAATCTCGGAAACTTTGGAAAATAAAGATTTTTTTAAAAATATCCAGAAGCTTTTTAGATTAAACATACCAAAATTTGATTGGAAAAAAGCCAAAGATAGCGGATCTCCGATTTTTTAATCTCAAAGAGACACTAAGGCGGCATTCCGTATCTTAACCAGAGTTACCGATTGGTATGGAGCGGTTCGTCTATAGTGACAGTCTCGTTCCTGAGAATGCGGTTTATGTGTGGAACAAGTGTGGAACCGCGTTTCATAACCTAACCAGATTTCGGGAGTGGTTAGGTTACGGAACGGGAACCGGAAAAACCAAGAATCTTGGTTAACTTACGGAACGTCGCCTTAGTGATATTTTACGATACAGATTGTGGTCTAATTTTTGATTTTTTTCCAGGAACAGAGGCGCACCCAGAAAATATGTTGGGGGGGGGGGGCTAAATAGGTTGTGGCTTGTGACTGAAAATCTGAAGAAAAAAAAATTGAGGTGTGGAATGTGCCACATGTTTTTATACCTAAAAATAAAGTTTTGGAGGGGCGGCCTGGGGGGGGCCTTGGCCCGATGGCCCCCCCCCCCTGGGTGCGCCACTGTCCTGAGAACTCTGTCTTTGTCAGTGTTTTGGAAATATGAATATGGTTGACGAAGGCAGGACCTTTATTCTCATGAGAGCAGCCTGTTTCGAGAATTAGGGCCCAAAAATATAGCTAAACCCTAAGAAGATGGTCAGATAATCTGAAAAATGTAGTCAAAAATTGGATACAGGTGGCATAAATAGACAGAAATTAATACAAAACAAAAAGGGGTGTGTACTTTAATGTGAAAGTCAAGGAAATGTCATATTTAGTAGAATAATGTGTATTTTGATTGCCAAAAGCAAAAAAAATAAAAATTAATAAATGGTATAATCATATTTAATGTATGTATTTTATTTTTGATAATGCCATGTGAAGAAACATGATACTTTCAAAAAATATACACCCCAAATTGGATACGTACAACTTAATTATTAGTTTCTCAATAACTTATGATTTAGATTTCGGAAAACTTTGAAAGGTCATAACTTTTTTTCTATTAGAGATAGAAAGCTGAAATTGTCAGTGATTCTTATCCCAGTGGCGTGCTATAATCCTTGAAAATTTCAACTCATTTGAACCTATAGATCCTGAGAAAAAGTCGCGTCAAGGAAATCCGTGGGTAATGGGTGGGAGCAAAATCTTCTGTGTGCCTTTTTTCATAGAATCCGGCTCCAAATCTCGGAATATTTTGGTGTATGGAGTTCGGGGGATCCCGAAGGACCATTAGGTCACAATTTCTCAACAATTTTTTTTTTTTTAATTTTATCTTTTTAGTACTGGGGTACCTTATGATTTAGATTTTGGAAAACTTTGAAAGGACATTACTTAGGTACTGTTTTTCTATTAAAGATAGAAAGCTGAAATTTTCAGAGATTCTTATCCCAGTAGAGGACTACAATCCTTGAAAATTTCAGCTCATTTGGACTTATACTTCCCGAGATAAAATCGTGTTAAGCAATTTGGGGTGGCTCCAAATCTGAGAATAATTTAGAGTGTTTGAAGTTTGGGGGATCCCAAAGGACCATTTCGATACAAAATCGCGACAAAAAAAAAATTAAAATTTCATCGTTTTAGCATAGACCTGAACCTTATGATTTAGATTTTGGAAAATTTTGAAAGGACATAACTTTTTTTCTATCAAAGATAGAATGCTGAAATTTTCAGCGATTCTTATCCCAGTAGAGGACTACAATCCCTGCTGAAAATTTCAGCTCATTTGGACTTATAGTTCCTGCGATAAAATCGAGTTAAGCAATTTGGGGTGATTTACCAATTTTTCAATTTTTCTGAGTGCCTTTTTTCCTCGCTTTTTTCATAGAGTCTGGGTCCAAACCTGAGAATAATTTAATGTATGGAGTTTGGGGGATCCCGAGGGGGATCCCAAAGGACCATTTCGATACAAAATCTCGACAAAAAAAAATTGAAATTTCATCGTTTAAGGGAGAAGGTACCTTATGATTTAGATTTTGGAAAACTTTGAAAGGTCATAACTTTTTTTTCTATCAAAGATAGAAAGCTGAAATTTTCAGCGATTCTTATCCTAGTAGAGGACTACAATCCCTGAAAATTTCAGCTCATTTGCACTTATAGTTCCTGAGATAAAATCGTGTTAAGCAATTTGGGGTGATTTATCAATTTTCCAATTTTTCTGAGTGCCTTTCATAGAATCTGGTTCCAAATCTCAGAATAATTTAGTGTATGGAGTTCGGGGGATCCCAAAGGACCATCAGGACCTAAAATCTCAACAAAAAAATAATTGAAATTTCATCGTTTTAGTAAGAAGGTAGCTATTATAATCTCAATAAACTTTTTTCGAATCTTAATAAATTATTACATAATTGCTTATTCATTTATAATTCTGAGATAATTATTGAATAAATAATATCTACATATTTTACATAAAAGATAAATTGAAATGACCCACTTGAGAGAAAACGATAAAAAAACCTCAGAGATTTGCTGATTATTAAAACAATTTGCTTGACAATTAATTCACTTTTGTTATCTTTTTGATAATTTGGACTCGATTTTCTCAATTTTGAAGCAACTTGATAGAAATATTTTCTGTTCCAAGAATTTGCAACTACTAGGATAACATAGGTATACTTAAGTAACTAACTTCCCTTATGAATTTTATTGTTTGTTTATATAAGTACAAACATACAACTGATTATTATTATTGCTGAATTATTGTTAAAAAAATTCGGCAGGCTTATTCTCTAAAAGCAGCAATAGGGAATTCTCATAAGAAATAAATATGGCTCATTTTGTTTTTATGGTGCACATTTTTCTGTAAAATATTGAATATGAGCAGTTTTGTATTTAATTTATGGATATTATAGTCATACGGCAATTATTAGTTTTAAATTGAAAAGTTTCGCGAGGAAAAGTTACGTTTACCATGGCCGGTTCTAGTGACGTCAACTGTTCGTCAACTAAGGTTAAGGGTAGTTTACATTGAGCGTAAATCCACGGTCCACACTGTCGTGGTTCACTCTTGAGTCGTGGAACGATTGGTCCACGATCAGTTCACATCACGCCACGACTGATATTGAACCACCATAAACGGGTCTATAGAGGGTAGATTGTCAGACTGCGCTTTTGTAAATCCTGTATCAACCATGATGAACTATTTGAAACACAAAATGTCACAATATGGCACTAAATACGGAAATACCACATAATAACCGCTTTCAAGTTTTATTGCAGTCGAAAGTTCAAGCTATGCGATTCTTTCCGACAGTTTGCGAAGTGTCGAAGGCTCTTGTGAGAACAGACCTTAACGTTGTGTTTAGAGACAGTTGACGTCACAAATTCCACAAATTCCACCATCTTGAAGCTAATCGTTTTCGCGCCAACGAAAATAATTTGAAATTTAAAATAATTTTTTTATTTTAATGAGGGCATAAAACAAAAAAAAACATATACATTTTATATTTGAAAACATAAGCATTAAGAAAAAAAATACTTTGAAAAATATGATTGCACTATGATTGCACTGATTGTTCCCTATTACATAGCAACCAGCAACCGGTCGCAAGTTGCTTTTTTTGAATAGAAAACTCACGTTTGACAGCGACTATTGCGCAATTATCTGCGTTCGCAAATTACAGTAAGGCTGCCGATTAACAATAATTTTGTACTTGTTTTAATTGAACTTTGACTCTTAATTAAATAATAATTGTCGTTTCTGGTTTCTCTCTTTATCTTTTGTCTACCAATACAGGAAACTACGCATCTTGTGTAGTGTTTGCATTGTATACACCAAAGATAAAGGCAATAATTATAAAGGCCATTGGATTGGAATTTCCAATTTCTGATACCTACTTAATTAATTTGATAATCAGAATATTCAAGATATAATATTGTAAGCAGAATTTGAAGAAATCTAGAAGCCAAAAAAGAGCATTGAGTTTGTATAAATCTTTAAGCTATTTTCTTTCAACTTCTGAAAACTCTAAAACCTAATATTTTCTATTTAGGGCTTTTCTATTGTCTTGTCATGCTTATTCTTTATCCACACAGGGTGTACAGTTCTGGTAAAATGGAAATATATGATACATGTTAATGGAAACTACAAAGTAAAAAGTTAATTTTGTATGCACACAAATATAAAAAATCTACTAACCAAATCCCAAAAAACACATAAAAATCAAGGCAATGAATCTATGAGCTTTCCCAGTGGGATGGCAACATAAAAAATAGGTTTTATCACAACAGGTTTCATCGTGTCTCACTGAAACTTCAACTTCTTGGTGGCTTTCCTCCATAGTTCACTACACAATCTTCACAAAAGAAATAACTGAATACTGAACTTAAAACAACTAATTTATTTCATAAGCTTCCGAAATGATACTGGTAGCTCAAATTAATGAGCCTATTGTATTGATAAACTAATATAATCTAATTTTAATATAAATACTTATAAGGTAATTATTTAATTATTAGATCAAATGAGTAATGACGGCACGATTTTTTTTCTATTATTTATTTATTGTATATTAAGTTTTTTATAAATAAAAAGAAAATCCTTTTCTTCAAATAAGTAGTTAGTTAAAAAGAGATAAAAGATAAAAATATAAAAATTCCATTACCAAAAGAAAATGCTATTTGATCCTACTCGAGATAAGCGAATTCCATGGCCGATCCTAGTGCAGTGGTTTTTGGATCGGGATCACTTTTTCAATCGAGTACAATCAGCTTTTCACGAAATGAACAACCGGAACCAACCCGAACTGCATTGTAGTTTAGAATATACATTTATGATGTATGTAAAACGACACGCTACTGCGTCATCACTGTTACTTTGGCGTGATGCGGTACTTGAGATTTGAGCTACACAGGCCTTATAAAGGATAGGCTATCCTGAGTTTGTAATAATCTTTGATTTTGAGCCACTAGAAGAAACGAAACGAATGCCGAATGTCAAATATGTCTAAAATTACGTCAACACTTATTTTCAAGGTTCCTAAAGTTCGAGGATAATATGCACCAGATACACCTTAGATTATACACACTACCATCACACTACTACTACAGGATAGGCTATACTCAATAGTTGTATTCCTTTCAAGAGTTTGAAACCCTCGAGCTACTCGCTTCGGTGTTTAGTAGCCCCCGATTTGCAGGGAACAGATGCATGGTGCAGCAAAAACTTTTTGAAAGGAATAGAGCCGGCAAAGTTTCTTCACGAAATTATTGCCGAAATATTTCGTAAGTTTACTATTCTTCGTTTCGCTTTTTCCTGTTCGACACGGTAAATAAAAGTCTAGCAAAAGTTTCGTGAAAATTAGTCATACGCAGGCGCAGATACGTTTTGCCATCAAATAATATCAAATCATAACCTCATACTTTGATAAACCAAAACAAAACAAATAAAACTTAAAACTTCCGTTTTCTAATTGTTGTTGAATCTTTTTACCCTCCTGTAGTTTCATAAGGTTGAATTTGTTTTTTCCTTCCATAAATAAAAATATATTTTTTTTTATTTGCCCAGCTGTTCTTGGGTGCATTACTTTTTTCACCGATGAGCAGTCTATCCTTATCTATTACATAGGAAATTCAATGACGCATTCATAGGCTCCACGAAAAAGAAACTTCCTTTAGTGTGCGCCGAAAATCACGCATATTTTCGGCCAAGCCCACAAAAACTATAGAACATTTTCGAAAGTTTATTCGTGAAATATTTCGTAAGTTTTTCTTGTCGTGTAAAACAGGAAAAGTTGGCTTACGAAATATTTCGGCAACAATTTCGTAAGTAATTTCGTGAAGAAACTTTGCCGTGTAAAACGGCTCATAAGCGCGTGAAGCCCCGGAGCTGTTCCGGAGCTCCTCCTAGGTGTGAAAGGCATACAACTATAAAGTGCGTTTCAAAAACCAGTATTGGGACTGAGTTTCTGCTTATGGGAGCGGGCTGCGCCGGAGCTGCTGTGAATATTTAAGCTCATCTCGAAAAATAGTGGTACTATAGGGCACTCCAACAGACTGTCAAAAACGGAATAAATATGGCTTCTGTTGTATAAACAAACCTAAAGCCTAGTACTCATAACTGCGAAATTGGCATTTTTTTGACATTGCGTTGACAATTTGACGTTTTATGCGTGTATCAAACGTCAAATTGTCGAAGCAATGTCAAAAAAATGCGAATTTCGCAGTTATGAGTACTAGGCTTAAGTTTACCGTATCCTTATGAAAATTTGAGGTATTCCAATACAATTTTGTTAATTTTATGTATTGTAGTGCCCGCATTTTGCTGTGTGGTAAATTGTAGCAGTAGTGCTAGTTGCTCGGCAATCCTCAATCCTCAGAGTTCTCGACTTGTAATTTAAATATAATAATCGCTTAAGCCTAGTACTCATTCATAACTGCGCAATTCGCATTTTTTTGACATTGCGTTGACAATTTGACGTTTTATGCGTGTATCAAACGTCAAATTGTCGAAGCAATGTCAAAAAAATGCGAATTTCGCAGTTATGAGTACTAGGCTTTATTCTTTAAATTTCTACGTCTGTGTAGTCTGTTATATTATAAAACAAAAGATATAAAAGGAGTGAAGTCATGGTGAAGTCAGTTCAAAATATGAAAAACGCAATAAAATTATCAGGAAAAAATTTAAAACGCTTTTCGAATAGAACTTAATAGCACGAAGTATATGGAGTGCGTTCAAAGACGGCAATGCTAATGCCAAAACCTACTGTTCCCCTTCTACCGGCAATGCCATATCTGGTGTGAATTTGCTGGAACGCCAAATACCGTTTCTCAATTAGGCAATCCAAACCACGTGACATTCAAGATGGCGTGGCGTCCACACATGGACGAAAAAACACAAAAAATATCTTAGTTTCTGCCCAAATCAATAGTTTACGTACCTACAAATATTTTATTGAATAATCAAAATCAAAGCTGCAAACAAAACTCGAAGCAAAATAATTGAAATATGCATGAAAACACATATTCAAAACTAACTTGCTGGCAGCCACGCCATATTGAATTTGGTCTCATCCAATCAAAATTCGTATAACCATTTCTAGACTCATTTAAAAGCACCTCCAAAAGTTACTTTACCGCGGCCGATTCTGAACGTGTAAAGCCAACCGTTTTTTGCACGCTGGAGCCGAACTTGAACGCAATATGCCAATTTTGGCTTGGCTTTAGCCGTTTTTGAACGCAGCCATGGGCAACCGGCTTGTTTCTCATGCAGCGGCCATTAAAACCGATTTGTTGGACTACCCTATTGAAATAGTTTTTAAAAAGGACATTTTAAGGTTTAAAAAGTCACAAGGACAATTTGTTTGAAAAAAGGACTGTCCTTTTCAAAAAAGGACAGGTGGCAACCCTAGGTTTGCGTCAGCGGTCGTTTCTAAATTTACAATTAATTAATTTTGATATAGGCGAAGATGTAAACGAGATATGGAGAAAGAGTTGTTTTAGAATGTTAATTGATGTAGTGAAACGAAGTTTGCATAAAGCAAAAGCCTGCGGAATCATAACCTGTGGTACAAACACCCTATACGTGAAGGCGAGAAACGACTCGCTGCCTACGTCATCACTGATACCTTGGCATCCTGTAGTAGTAGTGTGTAGTATCCTTGCAGGAAACTGAAGTCCAAAAGTAGCCTCTTTTCCAGGAACCAGAGTAATTAGTAATTCGATTACTTTCGGACCGCTTTTCTGTAGTTGCCACATTTTTATTTTTCGTTGAGGAATAATGATCAAGAGCATTAACCCTGATTCGACTGGACCTAACCCATTTCCGAAAATCATAAATCACAAAAAAAAATATATTTGCTTCTTGATGTTCCTACAGATTAGGTACCAAGATTGCGTGTAAAAATAATTGTGAGAAATGAAAGCGTGTAAAAACGTGTAATTTCACCAGCATATCGTGCAATTTCACAAATTCAGATTGGCAACACTGGATTTCCTTATTCCGAATATTCCGTCCGTTCCATGCCGTCCGTTTGTAGGTGGAGCATGTGAAATGAAAAAAGGTAGGGTTAAATAATGTCCGTTAATTGACTCTAAAAATGCACGTGATCCGATTTGAACGGACCCGCTTACTAAACGGACCCGGTTCTCGAAATGGATCCGTTTTTTAAACGGATTCAAGAATGCGAAGCTTAATAGGCAGAGGCAAGGTTGGCCGTGCTCATTTTTATCATCTTTTTCATCGATTTGCTCTGAAATTTTGACAGACACGTGATTTGTAAATTGAAACATCCAGTCACGTGCCTGTCAAAATTTTGGAGCAAATCGACGAAAAAACTGACAAAAACGAACACGGCCGTTGTTTGAATGCAAGGTTATAATACACACTACTACATAGGATCGCTTATCGGCCTCGTTTTCGGGAATCGCGGTCATATTGTGTAGCACCATTGACGACGTCATCAACTACGTCGGTAGCAGTTTTCGCTCGCTGGGGTCGTAGTTTAGAATATACATTTATGATGAAAAATATTGTTTAATTTTGATTAGCATAACATTATGGCAACGATGAAGATGCGAACGAGATCTAAAAAAGCTTTATTTTAGAACGTTAATTAACGTGCGTTTTTATTCTCATCGAGTTTTCCTGATGAATTCCATAACCGATGAGCGCCGATGAGCAGTACGTCATCAAAATTTTTCGCAATTTTGTTGATGAAATGAATAAACTAAAAAACACTTCGATGGATTTTGACACTTGAATTGATACTTTTGACATTGATTAGTGTTGTTGGTTTAATGTGGCAAACTTATTATTTTTTTATTTGTTTAAAAAACCGTAGCCATACAATTATTGGAAGTCTAGTGTTAGTTGAGAATAATTGTGAGCTCTTCATCATCATCAAGTGATGAGTCTAGAAGTTCTTCAGATGAAATAGTTTTACTTGAATTGTAGAAAACATAAAAAAATACAAAATTATATTTCTTCTGTAGTTCTTTGCATAGTGATTTAGATGTTGTCTCATTTTAGACCTACTAGGACTGTAGTGGAGGTGAGATATTAGAAATAAAATTATCTCTAAGATAGTTAGCTGAGCTTTAAGACCTCACAAATTAAGTTTGATTTGATATTTCAGATATATTTCTCACTTGTCACAAAGTTAGGTAATTTGGCGCTCGTATGCTCAGAACTCTTAGGTTTGGTATGGTCTTGGTTTTCACACCCTTCAGATCACTTGAACATGCCCTTTTTCCTTTTTTTTTTTGTTAAGGTCTTCGTAAATCTTCACATAATAAATATAAATGCAAAACAAAACGATGCCAGTCGGCTATCAACAACCGTCAACATAATTTTGAGGTTACATTTTACGTTATAATTCATCAGTTCATCCCTCTGGTTCATCCTAAATGAACCTCGATGAATTCGATGGCTAATCGTACTTTCACCGATAAGTGTAGGATGAGAATAAAAACAGACCGATGAAATCCATCGATGTTTTACTGATGAGAATAAAAACAGCCAATTGACATTTTCGCTTAATCGATGAGCACATCGATGAGAATAAAAACGCACGTTTAGTACTAAAAGAAGACTAAAACCAAGTATGCATAAGGGTGGATTTTCATGCATCCGTTTGTCCGACGAAAGATGTCCGAAAAACATTCTATTCTGACATAATCGTATAAAAATATGTCAAAATAGAAGATTTTTCGGACATATTTCGTTGGAAAACGGATGCATGAAAATCCGGCCTAATGCAAAAGCCCGTGGACTCATAACCTGTGGTGCAAACACCCTAAGTCAAGGCGAGAAACAACACGCTGACTACGTTATTACTGGTTCTTTAGCATGGTGGAGGGCTTGAGATTTGATCTACACGGGCCTTGTGAGGATAAGCTATCCTGTAGTAGTAGTAGTGTGCATTATCCTTGGTTTGAAAGAAGTGGATTGCCTGCGTTCTTGCCTAATAACTTTTATGACGTCATCTGGACTGCCTACCAATGAACTAATGAACATCATCAGACAGCTTATTAACTGGAACGTCTAAGGGTGGATTTTCATGCATCCGTTTGTCCGACGAAATATGTCCGAAAAATCTTCTATTTTGACATATTTTTATACGATTATGTCAGAATAGAATGTTTTTCGGACATCTTTCGTCGGACAAACGGATGCATGAAAATCCACCCTAATACGTATGAATTGTTTTGTATTAATATAAAAAATCGGTGAACCGGATAAACGGTTGGTTAAGCCGGCTACAGACGGTCCGGCAGGCCTGTCAGTTCGAACTGAACAGTTCGCCTGAAGGCCGGTCGCCGGATGGACTGATGACCCTCCACATGTTAAGGCGTATCGGATTCTTCAGTCTCAATCATCCCGGTTTCTATTGACGACGACGCGTTATTAGCAATTTTTGGTTTAGTACTTAGTATACATTTTTTGAGAACAGTAAAGTCCGTACAAGAGGAATCGATTTCCTTCCATTTTTCTACCAGTTTCTTGCCATGGTCGTGTGTAAGTTTTTCGATTTGACTTGCCGCAGGACGACTTACCATGATAAATCGCGATAAATTCCTCCAAACACCTGTATTCTATTTCGCGTGACATGATGGCGTAAGCTCACTACTCACTGAAACTATCTGAAATGATAGCCCAACGGCCCAACAGGCGGACCGTGTCATACACACGTTCAGTCTTGCCTTTGGATACGTCAGGCCGGCCGGATGAACGAACATGTTTTTGATTTTTCTCAGATCACCTGAACAGTCTTATCTGGCAGATCGTCCGGAATATATACACGCTCAGGCGACCGGCCTTCAGTCGGACTGTTCAGTTAGAACTGACAGGCCTGCCGGACCGTCTGTAGCCGGCTTTAATTTCGCTTCGGTTAACCGGTTCGATTATTTTATCGACGAAGTTTTTCTGTTGAACATTGAACCTATGACTCCGTTCGATAACTCGGTGTACCGTATAATCACACCACACGCCGTTTGGAGACGTTCTTGGTTTGGAGAGTCCGAGTGCTCATAAAAAATTTGGAGTAGGTACTGGAACCGAATTCCGAACCCACGATTCGATCCTTTTGATTTTTTTATTGCATGACGAATGGCAGCGCAATTTTCGTCGAAAGTATGGATGCAGCTTCTAGCCAGCGTTCAAACACATAACGTCATAAAACGAATTGACCTTTTGTTTGGACGCCATATTGCGGTGCGCGAACATAGTTGCCAAAAGAAGAAAACAAAAATTACTAGCGGGCTGTCAACATTAAAAACAAAAGTAACTAATGGCGATTTCCATTTGTCAATCAGTGCGCACTGAGTGTATCCGCATCTTTTTCTAAAAGCATGTAACATGTAAGGATAAGGATACCTTTTTTTTTGCACTGGTTCGACAAATGGAAAACGCTATAAATGATTGATCCTCACTATCCTGAGCTGCTTTCGGGTGCCACCTTTTGAGCGCTCCCGAGTTACTCAGAAGTACTCCAGCAACAGTTTGACCTGTTCGGTATCAAGCGTTCGAGTGCAAAACGCATGGAGAATGACAGGTTACTGACAGGTGAGAAGTGTTCCAGGAGCTTCGCACTCTGCACCCGAAAGCAGCTCTTATTATTTCTATTCTGTCCAATACAAGCTAAAATTGATGGCTTTTCTTTTCAAAAACATTCGTAATAGGCGGCAAATTTAAATTTTCAATGTAAAGTCTGTTTTTTTTTTTTAAAGATAATAGGGAACTTGCACATTAAATTAAATATGAAATAAATGATAAAATACAATAACAATCATCCTAATAAATGATGCAATTAGGAAAAGGATATAATATCTTATCTCTGGTTTTCAAAATCTTCAATTGAAAATACCAAATAATTCGAAATTCTTGACGAGATCAAAAACGTATTTCTATGGGTCAAAGGGCAGTAATAATCGGGTCGCACCGCTGCCACACCATGTGCTACTGGTGTTGTCAATGTCAAATCTATCATAAACGGCATACATAACAACATAACCATAATCTAAATCTACCTGCTCGCAGCAGGTCACTGTCAACCAAGGACTGTGAACGGAATTATGTTGCTGAGTGACGTCACACTAATCGGTCGTATCAAATGGCGATGTTTCGAGCGTAACTTCAAATATTTATAAAAAATTAACGGCTGATTTTTAATGCTTGATATTTGGCATGACTATGTCTTTAGTGTAGTACAACACATTTTTGAAATAAAAAAAAAAATGTGCAAGGTCCCTATTCCCCAAGTCAAAAATTTAGTAACTATGTTGGCAACACAAGCCTTTTCTACATATAAGATTTAAAAGATTGACAATTTTACATTGCATTGCCAACATAATGTCATTTTGACTTTTATCTCTGGCCGAGTTCGTTTTTGTCATCTTTTTCGTCGATTTGCTCCGAAATTTTGACAGCCACGTGATTTGTAAACTGAAACTGTCTTATAGAGTCACATGGCTGTCAAAATTTCGGAGCAAATCGACGAAAAAGATGACAAAATCGAACTCGGCCTTTAAAAAAAAAACAGATTTTAATTTATTCAGTAACTTTTGTTTTTAATGTTGACAGTACGCTAGCAATTTTTTTTTTCTACTTTTGGCAACGATGTTCGCGCACCGCAATATGGCGACTAAACAAAAGGTCAATTAGATTCGTCCTTGGATGAACTTATTGATGAACTACATTCGTCGCGAAAATTCGGTTAATGTTTTCCACCACTTGCTCTGAGTTCACTCGACTAAAAATCCCACTCGCTCCATTCTGCTCGAAGATCGGATATTGGAACATAGTCAAAGAGTAGAGTACATTTCATGCAAGTTTTGAGTCTTTTCTCAAATGTCCATGAGGAGAGTTTCGCACGAGTGTGAAAAAACACTTTCACCTACGAGTAAGGTTCCCAATTTTGGGGATCGGGATCCCGTTTCGAGATACCGGAATGAAAAACTAGATCCCGGGATCCCGAGATGCGCTAGGTGATGGTGATTCCCACTTCCCACGTCTGTTGTAACCTATTACGGAATCCGATTTTTTTATCCTGGAATTTTTGGGATGAAAAATCTTCCGGAATCCCGGATTAGAAACCCTACCTACGAGCGTGCGGTAAAGTGCACTCTACTGCACTTATTTGCAAGTGGAAAGTAGCGCTTACCGTACATTATGCGTATGCGGTAAAGTAGACTGCAAGCTTGCCGTGAAGTAACTTTACCACAGAGGGTGCGGTAAATTGGATTTTGGCATTTTTAATCAAAAATCCCTTCTCTTTCATAAGGGCCCGCGGTGCGGGAGGGCCCCGGGATATTTGGGGCCCCCAAATTAAACAAGTTATTCTTCTCACACAAAATATTATCCCACTTATGTCAGTTCGAATGTTAGTTAAAGAAAATCTTCAAAAAAATCGAAGATTTCTCAATTTTTGCAACCATTGGATGCAATGGAGATGATAGTGATAATTTACCGCAAAATCCTAAAACATAACTTTACTAGCTGACGAACTTCGTACCGCCTCTGAATTATATTAAATACCTATTACTTTAATGTTGTGTTAACGTATCTATTAGCTGAAATAAATTAATTTTTTTTCGATGGTGAATTTGGCTTTGGTTCAAGAAAATTAATGTTTACTAGATCTCCGGATCAGAAGTCACCTAAAATTAAAATTATACATCATCCTTTTTTAGGCAGCTTGTGGGCATTATTCTTGTAAAGTGTACCACCAAATAAATAAACTCAGGCACAGGAATGTTCAAAGAATGTAAAGAAAACAAAAAAAATCTCCAGCGCAGCCCTGTTTCACTCTATCTGCACTGCATGCCCTGCACTACTCCATCTGTTCTACTCTATCTGCACTACTCTATCTGATCTACTCTTTCTGCACCACTCCATCTGATCGGAATAGTGGAATAGTTCTGTTCGGAATAGCTCCAGTTCCTGAGCAGCATTGTTCTACTGTATCTGCAATGAAATTACCGCGTAAAGGCGAGCTTCGTTCTAGGTATCAGAGATGGCGCCGTATACAAAACGGCTTGCAATGAAAATGTGAAATGAAATTTTTTCATAAATAAGTAAAATATATTTTTTTTTTCGGATTTTTTCGATTTATTATGTTAGTAGGGACAAAGACAAATCCAAAAAAGCAAAAATCATAAAAATCAGTACAGCCGTTCTCGAGTTATAAGTGCTAGAACCAACACAACTGTGTTTTATATATATAGATATAAAATCGTTTAATTTTTACTCCACCCCAGACTCAAACGCACCATAATTTTGCTCACACCGGCAACACTGGCCGTGTCGTGTCATGGCTGTGCCAGTGCCCACAGCGTGCCGCTTTTTTTTAATATTTTGTTTACTTTTATTTTTACCGAAACTGTTTGGGGCCCCCAAGAAACTCGGCACGCCCCTGGTATATTCGTTGCCGTTTTGAGTTCAAAGAAGTTGATGAGAGATTAGGCACCCTATTGCGCATTTTTTTCCGTATTTGGTCTACCCTGTATCTTCAATAGTTTCGAAAATCCCCATGTACATACTTCAAGTTATTCCGCACACCCTGTATTACTAAATAACTAGTTCCGTCATAGTTAAAACACATTGTTTTATTAAGTAACAAAAAAAAAACACACATTTTAATGAACCCTTTTTCCTTTTTCTGTTGCACATTATAATTTCTACCTACCAACACATAAAAATAACTCAAAAAAAAATAATGGAATGACAATAATTATTTGCTTATATTATTTTGTTTAGAAAATTTCTAATTACTACACACAAAATATATATATTTTTTTTACCATAATATTCGCGTTTTACCTTCGCCGCAAATCCATAGGCATACTCTGTCCACTAAGTATGAAAAGAAAAAGTCGGCGAATAATACTTGGACTAGAACATATTTAAACTAAAAAAAAATACATATATGTAACAATAAATTCTTCTAATTATTGATATAATTCTTACGTCATCAGGAAAATCGATGATTTCAAACTGAGCAGATAATTCAGGCATTATTCCTAAAGTTAAGGCCATTACGACACTGCTGGATCCTATAATACTGTATAATAATGCTTTATTTTCTTTCAGACTTTCCATATAAGGATTTCCCTATAAAAAAAATTATAAATAAGGCATTTATTTATGGCAAAATACATTATTTACCCTATAATTGATGGCAAATGTAGCTATTTGCAACGCCATAGATATAATATAAACAGTGCTGTTTATAATATTGGGTTGAAATAGCGCGTCTTCTTCTTCTTCAGTTAATTTTGTTAAAGGTTCAGTGGAATTGAGTTTAGATTCATCACTAGAAAAGTTTAAAAAATATAAAATAATGTCAATGAAACGCTTTTGGCTCTTACATAGTTATAGGAGGCGTTCTGGCTTTAGCCGCTTGCACTAAATAAATTAAACACACAAAATGTACCGAAAATTGCAATAAAACAGTGGAAATTGTGTACCAATTGAAAATATTCGGCAAAGGCCTCTGTTTAGATAGTGTTTTAAGTGGCTAAAAGAAAATAAATTAAATTCAAGAATAAAGAGCAAAAATTCTTACTTTTGATCTAGAAATAAACAAAAAGCAGGCAGCCAATAAAAATCCCTGTAAAGTAGCTTGCATATCTCTAAGTTTGATTCCGTCCAAATAGAGTACTGATTGGGTGTATGCCAAAATTAGAGCGTTTAGAGCTAAAATCTTAAACATTTGTAAGGTTGTTACCAAAGTACATCGGCCTTGTTTGATTATGTGACATACTGAAAATAAGAAATACATATACATGGTGTATATTTTAAGTGATACCACTATTGCTATATCCGAAACGGTGAAAGCTACAAGGTCGGTTAAATTAGAGAAAAGTTGCCTTTTTTGATGTCCATTCAAGACTCGTTTACAGTGTTGCCAAATTCCTGTTAGTTTATGAAATACCGGGTGATTTCTAAGAAATGCCTAAAAATATTTCATCAATTATTTCGAGAACTATTAATTTTCGGAACATAATTCAAATTTGAAAGTTTTATAATTTTTTTCGCTCTACAACATGGCATCTTCAAATTTTGAATCCGACGTTTCGTGATTGAGCTACCATCATCAACTTCATATTTTTAAATACGGACCTGAATTTTTTATGTCAATTTCAGAAAGCACCCTTTATCTCGTTTTCAACGATATACCTTTTGAGCATGATTGGGCATTATTTCCGATCTAAAAAGTGATTACCAGTGATTTTTACCAAAATTTTACCTTAATTCGGCCCTAGTTATGAACCTGTATTCCAGAAACTAAAAGGAATTTGGCAACATTGTAAAAGAATCTTAAATGGGCATCAAAAAAGGCAACTTTTTTCCAATTTAACCGACCTTGTAGCTCTTACCGTTTCGGATATGATATAGCAATAGTGGTATCACTTAAAATATACACACTGTATAATTAGGAACCTTGTACAATAGGAGGAACTTTTTAATTCCAAAATTCAATAAGGCATTTGAAAAGTATTTAATTAGATAGAAAAAAAAACATACTTACTGCACATTATCGATGACAATCTACTAGTGAACGGTGACGCAATACTAGCATCCCCTAATTTAACCACCTGAGACTGATCCTCTTCCTCCAACTCCTTCATTATTTTATTCATTCGATTTTGAAGTCTGTCCCTTTGTTCCATAACGCTCCGTACATTATTCGGCCTGTTACTTCTGGCTACAGCCAATCTTTCCCTTTCTTCACGTTGCCTCCGTTCCAATTCTCTGGCTTTTTCCAACTTCTCGCGTTGCTCCCGTAAATCCGGTAGTTTTTCCGGGGCATTAGCTAGAATGGCAACGCCAACTTCTGCGTGTTTTAGTGCTCCAACGTCGTTAGTACCGTCTCCACACATTAAAGTAGTAAACCCGAGAGTTTTCAATTGGGTAACTACAAACTCTTTTTGTTTGGGGGCGAATCGCGCAAATATTGTGATGAAAGGTAATGTTTTAAGAAAACTTTTATGATGATTCTGTTTGAAATAATTAAAACTATCTCCTGTGACGCATAAATCATATTCTGCAATTAAATTTTTTCTATCATCACCTATGGGTATTCTATCTTTTTTATGGATAGATTCCCAAACGTAATCACCATTCTCATCCTCATTCAATATAAGTATTGGTTTGGATGTGAATTTCAATTCAACAGCCACATGACAAGCCGTTAAAGGATTATCACCAGTAATCATAACGACTTTATGTGAAGCATTTTGCAGTTCTTTTATGGCATATTTCGAGTCAGCTTTTAAGGGACAAGAAATTATGACAAAACCAGCAAATTTTAAATCTTTTTCTATGCTGTCACGTGATAAATCTCTCAATTCTTGACTAGACAGTTTGCCTATTTCCTTGTATCCCAGAGCCAACACTCTGGCACCTCGTCTGGAGAGTTCTAGGTAGACGTCGTCGTATTTTTCAGGAAGCTAAAAAGAATTTAGAGTTTAAAAATCAACTAGAGAGATGTTATGTTATGGATTTTTTATTAATAAAAGAAGCTTTACGAGTTTGTGTAGGAAAAAGGCAGGAGGGTTTCCTATTAATTTATACTCCTGGACAAAATTATCGCACCACTGCTTATGGTCAAATCAAATCAAAAAATGCTTTATTGTATAAAGAGTTTAAATACCCTCATGTACAAAGCTGAAAATAAAAACATATAAAACAGTATAAACTCAGTGGTCATAGAAAAACAAATAGAAAAAAAAAACATCAAAAACAGCTAAAATTCCTTAAAATATAAATACAATTTAAAAAGCTTAAAATAGAAAAAAAAAAACAAACATTACTTCACAAACATAAATCATCCCGAGAATCATCCGCATAAAACTCGTCAAGGCAATAATAATTATAACTGTACTAAGTTTTGGAATGATAGATTTTGACTGTATCAATTGATTGGCTCTGCCAATATCATTATTATTATTATTTTTATTTTTATTTTCATGATTTGACTTTTGTAATTTGTGCTTATTGTTTTATTCCTGTAGCGCACGTATAATGTATATATATATTTTTTACCGTCATTTTAATTTAATTTGTGTGACATAATTATGTGAGTGATAGGTAGTTGACGTTCGTGACTACTTCTAAGTTTTATTTTTATTTTTTGTTTGTTTTTGCCTCAGTTTTTACAATTCTTTGTGTTGGTTTCGATTGTTGTGGATCATTTTTTGAAATTTTTATCCTTTTTATGATAGATAGATAATAGATAATTTTAATTGTTTTATTAGGTTTAAGGCCTGCTTTGTCTATGACATTATTTGTTTTTTTGGCAATAAAGCTTATTTGATTGATTGAAGCTTTTTTCAATAACATCCTCTATAGGTACTAATTGGCCAAACTTTTTGTCACTTTCTAGATTCTTGATTTCCAGCGGCAAGCGATTGTACATTTTTCTACCCTCATATATAATTGAATGTTTAGTAAGGGTACTTTTAGGAATGCAGAGACTCAGATTTTCACTGCTATATCTTGTCGCGTAAGCACTTGCTGAGGCGACATCAGATCCCCTGCATTTTTTACGAACTAACTCTACTGTACTAAGGATAAAAATACAAGCCAATGTTAGAATCCCCTCCCCAATAAACAGCGGTCTACAGTGATCTCTGTGACCAGCACCACTCAAATATCTCACAGCCCGCTTCTGCAAGACAAAAACAGACTGAATAAGATGCCGGCTGGCAAAGCCCCAAAACTGTATGCCATATCTCAAATGAGACTCTATCAGTGAGAAATATACATCTCTTGATGTTTTGGCTCCAAGTTCACCATGTACAATTCTAACAGCATAACAAGCAGAGGCCAACCTTTTCCTTAACATTATAATATGCATATCAAACTTTAACTTGCAATCAATAAAAACTCCCAAAAACTTTGCACAGTCTGTACTTTCGACAGCTCCACCATTCAGTGAGATGATGCTTATGTGCAGTGGTGCGATAATTTTGTCCAGGAGTATATTATTAAAATAGAAAATTCAATAATTCTTTGACTGTTGCGTAAGTACAATAAATTGCAGCAGCTTCTACCATATTTCATGATACTGCCTTACAATACTATAGTTGTAATTCTGATTTGAGAGATCTTATCTCGGATCTTATGTAGGAAAAACTACCCTGTTTAAATTTTTAAACAGGACACTTTTCAGAATAAAGAGTTAGGAACCCCTTTCTGTATGGGATAAGAGAACTTGAAACAAACAATCTTCTCATCACCAAGGATGCCAGAATTATCATTTAAAGAACATTATTCCCCCAACGATCTACCACAACGTTGCATAAACTCATGGAAGAAAGAAGGGGATAGTGGCCATCGGATGTACTGTATCTAGACTATGAGAAGGCATTTGACAAAGTGGTATTCAAAAGGTTATTATTTAAACTGCAACACTTTGGAAGCAGAGGTGAACTCCTCTGATGGATAGGCAGTTTTCTACGAAACCGAACCTTTCAAGTGAGAGCAAATGGGCATTACTCTGATGAATACAAGGTACTTAGTGGGGTGCCACATAGATCGGTGTTATAGGGCCACTGCTGTTTACCGTATACATCAGCGATCTTCATTCTCTTATAAGACAAAAGACAAACACCATTTTTTGTGCTGATGACACAAAAAAATACTGCAATCAGTGCTTAGAGCATCACAACCTTTTAGACGACCTGAAAACTCTCGAGAAATGCATCAGCGAATGGCAGCTAACACTCAACCCGACAAGTGCATTGTATTGCACATTGGCCCTAACAATCCAAACATACCTTACAGCTTAAACGACACTACCGTGAAGGCTGTCACTGAGCAGAAAGATCTGGGTGTCATTACCTCAAATCACCTAAAATGAAAAGCCCATATTTCTTCAGTTGTCAAGAGGACAAACTCTTTTGTATACCTCATACAGAAAGCTTTTAGTGACAGATCTATCCCCATGACTAGCAAAATATAAAACATATATCAGACCTAAATTGGAGTTCGCACATTCGATTTGGAGCCCATATCTGGTTAAGGACATTGAGATCTTGGAAAGAGTCCAGCGTAGAGTGACAAAACTCCCCTCTGAAATCAGAAATCTCTCATACGAAGAAAGACTACTGAGATACGACATAACAACTCTAAGGGCTAGAGAAAAGAGACTTGATTGAGACGTACAAAATCTTAAATCACCATTCCTCTCCACATTTGCAACTGGACATTTTCAGTCTAAATACTAACCAGCAACTCCGAGGCCATACTAGGAAGCTGGAACGATATACAATGTAAGAAGTTCAGTTGAAAAATACCCTCAATTAAAGAAATGACAATGATCAAATAATCTGAAGGAGAAAAATGCAGTAAAATTCCAAATAGTTTTGGTACTTACCTCAGAAAACATTGGCCTTAAAGTCTCAGGAGCTCCTTTAACTGCTGAAATATACACCGTATCTGTAGATCCTTGAGGATTATAGCCAGCAATCACCGACATTCTTTTCAACTGCGAAGAAAAATGATGCCTTACGAAAATTTTCAATCCTGGCGATTTACCTCTCCTAGGCAGCATACAATCGGCTTTGGTAACAGTCCAATCTATAGCGGTCACTGTGGCTTTTTCTAAAGGATCCCCCACCAAGCCATCGTCTAACTGAGCTAAAGAATGACAGCTAGCTAACACATGAACAGTTTCCAATGGTACATCTTGTATGGGAGTGACTGCAGAGTCTTTTTTTGCTAGAGCTACACCTTCAACAACCAAATTGTCGCTAGTCAATGTACCAGTTTTATCAAAACAACAAATATCTATCTTGCCAGCAAAGGGTATTCTAAATGGCTCTGTACAATAGACTCCTAATTTTGATAGGGCTAGTAAAGACGTATTTACGGCCAAAGATAATTCGATTGGTAATTCTGGGGGTATTACTGATGTTAAAATTAATGTGCACTCTAAAAATAGCTTATAACGGTTTCGTTCTGGGTCCTCAACTCCTTTTCTCCATACATAGGCAGCTGCAGCAATTGCAAATACCAACAGAAAAATGATAAATCCAAAAGTTTCCTTATTATTTGCAGTAACTCTTTTGACACCAAATAAAATGGTTCGCAGTAATTTTCCTTGGGCGGTATTAAAGCCTGTTCTCAATACATAGGCCACACAACCATTATCTGGAGGGCGCAGTCCTGTAGTTGCTTTTGTTGGCGGTGTGTGTTGAACTACTTTTGTGCCCCCTAAATGAAATAAATATAAAATAAACCTATAAACTGTGCTAATAAAAACTGACCAAATAAAGCGTGTAGTTTTCCTTCAGAATCAGGATCCAGGATTTTCTTTCCGTTACAAGTTTCTATTGCCTCTTTCATTTGGGGTACGGATTCTCCTGTCAACATACTTTCATCTACTATACAAGAGCCTCTTAATAATAATACATCACAGGGTATTAAGTTGTCCTTTTGACATCTTGTTATTGAAATAATATCGCCTGGTATAAGTTCGTTTGTAAGGATCGATCTCCAGCGTCTGTTACGATAAGCTAGAATATATTTTCAATAATAATTATAGTATAGTAAATCTAGAAAAAAAAATAGTAAGTATAGGTATTCACGATAAATACAAAAAAAAAACAATTGTCCATATAAGTAGGTAACTGATAGAATACTAAAAACCTCTGCTCCCAGACCTTTTTTAAGCAAAATCAACAAGAAACTATTTGCTATTTTACCAAAATAAATACCTACGGATTTTCTATTTAAATTTTTTAATTGTCCAGTTACTTGATTTTTATCAAGTACCCAATATCGCATATTATATTTGGTTCATAGTAAAATAAATTATAATTCCTGCAGTATCCAGCTGTTGTGTAACTGTGTGGGGAATTTCTGGAAGTTTGTCAGGCATAAAACAAGTAGCAAGGGTTAAATTTCTGGGACTATGTTCCTAGGGGATGAGCATGCTGAAGGAAATATCCAAGGGGTAAACCACTAGTGAAAATCATTGTACATTTTTTTTTGGAATCACATAGTAATCAATCAGGAGTATATGAAAATCACTTGAGAGTACCTGGGAATAACCCAGGAATCGCTAGGAATCTCCTAGAATTCCATGGGAATAACATAGGAATCCATTGGCAATCACTGAGAATTGTGTGGTAATCACTGGTAATACCATCTCATTCTAACCCAGAAAGCGCATATTTTAAACAATACAGCGTACTGGTCAGTTGTGTATTTGCCTTTCAGACTGAGTTTTAGGCAAAGTTCTAGACAATTTGAAATGAATTTGATATCCCAGCGAGTTCCCTAATAACTGAACCCGAGACTACGAAGAATTAAGAATTTGAAGAAGAAGAAAAACGAGATGAAGATGTCTGTTCTCACAGAAATCACCAACCAATCACAGCGTTTTTCATTTACCAGTTTTCTGACCATAGACTATTTCTGACTATTTTCAAACAATGAAATTCGCTCTGACTGGTTTGTGATTTCTGTGAGAACAGACCTAAATGGATGGATCTTTACAGTTCAATTGGCATTTGGCAGATGTCATCAACCTGGCTAACTGTGTGCTGGAACTGTTGCTTAAAATGTCTGGCGATTTTCGAAGCTTGGAATGTATTGTAAGAATATACAGTTCATATGTGTGATTCATATTGGAGTATGGGTCAACAATCTGGTCTCCTTTTTATGAAGTTCACAAACACCAACTTGAGGTTGTGCAGAACAAATTCTGTAGGCATCTTAGGTACCTATAAAATGGGCTAGATGAGTTTTCAGATGGATGTTCGTGAGCTCGTTAGTCAGTTTCATGAGCTGGCTACCTTGGAGAATTGTAGAATGATTTAGGATCTATGTTTTGTTATTAGGGTGATGAAGGGTTTTATTGATTCCTCTTGCATTTTGTCAAGTTTTAACTTTCGTGTTCCTCCTAGAGAATTGACAGGAGGTTACCTTTTGTCTTCCACACTGAGTAATACTGCTCAGAATATGCCTCTAAATAGGTTGGTCTCCTGTGAAAACCAATATACCAATATCGAATTTTTTGATGTTTCCCTCAATAGTTTTGAAACTAAGTTAAGGCACTTTGTTAAATAATTTATAGTTGTATTGTACTGAGATTTCATCTCGTGTAAGAATAAACAAAATAAAACAAATAAATAAGTGATAAAGTTGCAAGATTCTCACCTAAAATATTATAAGGTTTATTTCCCATCTTCCTAATCTCTGCCATATTTTTCAATTGCTGTTGTACCAAAGTGCATTCAAACAAAACCAACATTATAAGCGTGAATATAGAATAATACCAATATTTATCTAAACACCATAAGCCAACACAGAATATTTGGAATACGAAAAAAGGTGCTGTGGCTCTCTCAGTAAAAAGTTCCATAAACTCTGGAACCACCATTTCCAAATCGTTTTTGCCGTAAATAATGTCTGCTTGTTTAACGTCTTCATCTTCCTGGAAACCTTTGCAATTATTGTATTCGGAATAGGATTTGTGTATAGGAAATTCTAGGCCTCTAAATATTTTTTTATCTTCGTCCCAGATATATTTGGTTTTTTGAAATATAAAATATATCATGCATTCTCCATCAGGGAGTTTTATTTTTCTTAGAGAAACAATTTCAGAGCTCCCGTTATTTGCTGTAGGAACTACTTTGGCTAACGTAGCTTTCTGAGGATCCTTTTGCTTTTTACACATAAAAAAACAATTTATATGCACTGACCAATAACATGCCAGACAGGCAAGAATTTGTATACATCCAATAACCGCGATACCTACGAAACCTCCTTCATAATGTTCGTAGAAGCCCCACAATCCAATCCATAAGTAAATCCAAACAAGATAGAAAACAAGAAATGGTAGTAGATATAGATGAAATATTGTTGGTATTCTGATGTAAAGGGATACCGATTGCACCAGTTCATCAAGTTTTGGTGTCACGCTCATTGTTTTTAGTTAAAAAACTAAGAAAATTTAATTTAAAGTCATTATTTATTTAACATTTTCTTCATTGTCCATATGGGGATTTTGAGGTTCACGTACACCAATTTGACACTGTCACTGACAATTCCTTGATTGTCAAATTCACAGTTAACATTGCCATCTCTTCTTAATTCTATATAAAAGAAAAGGAAAATCATAGACAAGAAAAATATAAATGAATACTCCTTTCTGTGACATCTGTCTTGTGATGTGAGGTTATGGTTATGTATGTTTTTGTTAAGTTGAAAGTTGATTTTCTGTTGGTAAATCATTGAAAAATATGAGTTCTGCAAGTAAAGTAAGTGAATTAAACTTTTAAATGAATTCCTTTATCTAAATACAATATTTATTAGGTAGGCGAAATATTTACAGCTGCAGGGCAAGCCTTTAACAGGCTGGGAGATCTCACAATGCAATTACATCCCCATTCGGAATCTCCTACCGGGTAAGTTTTTTTGTTTTTCTAATTTTGGCGCCAATTTCTTCAAAAGTTGGATTTACTTTTACTACTCTGTTAAAACTAGATAATTTTAAAAAATCCATTTTCCATTTCTCATATGTATGAACAATGTTCTTAAAAACCTAGCTTCTAGTTTAACAGAATAATAAAAATACCAATAAATAAAGAAACTAGGCATTTAAATTCTAATTATTCAAAAACCATTAACAGAAAGTGGACAGATGAAGAAATTGAAATGCTCAGGCAATGCGTTACACAATTCTCAGATGGACTAAATCAAATAAGCGAACACATCAAACGACGCACTGTGTAAGAAGTTTTAATTTCGCTCTCCCACTTTCGCCAATTAATTGAACAATCTTATTTAGATCGCAAATAAGGACAGCATTGAAGAAGAAAGCCTTCGAAGACTCGGGGCTGCCAGTCAATAAACCAGCGCCAACTACACAACCGGCTTCAACAACAGTACAGACTTCACCAAATCAACAACAATCCTCAACCAAACAGGAGGTGACTTTGAATATGCTCAATGCTGCAGAATCGGAGGTTGATGTTGAGGGGCTTCACGAGGAAGTTAAGCTGGAGTTTGATGGAAGTAATGAGGCGGTTTCAACTTAAATCTATCGAATAAATATCCGGATTTGAATGAATGCATAATATTTTGTATATATATTATTTGGATAAGTTTACTCTTTAAGTCAATAACGTGAATTTTTAATGAAATAGTATTAATTTTGTGACCTAAAAAACGTTTTTCTTTTAAGTATCTTGATCCTTACATCCTCTGCTGAAGTTTTTTTGAATAAATACATCTCTATCTATAGCAAAGTTTGTTCAAAATAGAACAATACTATTATTGTTGGTGGGTCATTGACTATGCACTGGGATAGATAAATAATCGATATATGAAATCAAAAAATACTTTATTGTCGAAAGTACGTACAATTCTCTTTGACAAAGCTGCCCCCAGATCCCAAACCCACGATTTGATAGTATCGTCTATCTAATTTATATAGCTGATACTATCGAATTGTGGGTACGGGATTTGGGTCCAGGTCTTATTACTAAAATATTTTGAGTAGGTTTCAAGATTAGTTTAAAAATTAATATAAATAAGACAACAATAAAACAATAAATACTTTGTAGCAGACAAGACAAACACAAAATTCAATATAAATCACACATAATATATTATAAGATGATAAAGTAACAGCCAACTAAATAGTAAAATGCAGAAACCCAATCACTGATAGATATAAAATAAAATCCCTTATTCATTAAATTTTCGAGTCACTTCAATTTGCAAGGGAATATGTTTTTAATTTTATATATAACTTTGATATAGGCAATGAGAGTTAGTATTTTGTACCTTGATTATATTTTTTATGGACTAGACAAACAGCTTAGAATTTAAAACAAGCAAGACAGTGTTAAAAACATTGGTTTACATGAATCGCTATGCTTTGTTTTAAACATCCTAACAAGAAACATCAAAAAGTTTACACAACATAAAGCAACATAACATAAATAAATAAATCACACAAAATTTCTACTTGAAATCTAAATAGCAACATTTTCAAATAAATTTTCTTCATCTTCCACAAAAACATCTTGCTTTTTGGCCACCGCTGGTCTAGGTGGTTTCGGTTGCAAATGCACTTTTTTGTGGGTCCTCAAAGCTGAACTTTGTCTAAAAGACTGGCCGCATTCGTCACATTTAAAAGGTTTTTCTCCAGTATGTATTCTCAGGTGCGAATTCAAATCGTTAGATTGCGTGAAGGCTTTTTCACAAATTTCACAAATGTACGGTTTTTCGCCAGTATGAATACGTCTGTGGCGACTCAAAATGCCCGATCTGGAAAATTTCATTTTACAATAATCACATTCGTAAGGTTTTTCACCTGAATGGATTCTTTTGTGTTTGGTTAATGATGAAGAAGTAGTGAAACCATTACCACAGGCATCACAAACAAAAGGCCTTGCTCCAGTGTGCTTTCTTACATGGGCATGTAACTCTCCTTTGCTGGCGAACCCATGATTACAAGTGGTACATACATGTGATTTGACGCCACTGTGTCTTACTTGGTGCTGCCTCAGATTACCCAATTGATTGAATCCTTTGCCACAAGTAGGACACAAAAAGGGCTTTTCTCCATTGTGTGTCCTTAAATGATCCTTCAAGTTGGATATTTGGTTAAAAGCTAAAAGTCTCATAATTAATAATTCAAATGTTTTCCTAATAAAATATTAATACACACTTTTATAACAAGTTTCACAAATGTGGGGCTTTTTGGTCCCAATCCCTTTAGCAACCATCATTTTACATAAATGATTTGTTATATCTTTTTGGTCCTTAAATATTCTGTTGCAATGATCACATGAATATTCCTTTTCTTCTGTGTCTGAATTATTTTTAATTAATTCTTTTCCCTTATGATATCTCAAATGGTTCCTCAAATTTCCTTTATATCTGTATTCCATGAAACAATGAGGACATGAATATTTTCTATTGCTAAAATTGAAACAATGTTATAAAGAGAAAACAAAAACATTAACCATACCTACCCTCTCTTCCTTTTATGTTTCCTTTTAATGTGCTTTATGAAATGCCTTATGTCTTTAATTTCAACTGGGCACAATTTGCAAACTAAATATTCCCCACTTTCCCCTTTTAAAATATTTAAATGTTCCTTGTGTAAATGCTTATACAAAGAATTTTCGTTTTCAACTGTAATGTTGCATAAAATACATTTTAAATCTGTTAAGACATCTTGGGTTTTTGAGTTTATCGTATTTGATTCAGTTTTATCTACAGAAAATGTACCACCAATATTTTCAGTTATCTCTTGTTTTTTGTCATCATTTTCAGATTCGTCCTGTTCATCTTCAAAACCCTGCATTTTTATTGCATGGGCTATTTTGTGTCTCAACAGTAGATCTTCTCTAGTAAATTTTTTCAAGCAAATAGGACATTCGAAACTTTTTATTCTTCCTGGTTTTTCAACTTTAATACATTCATAAAATAAGTCTAATTTGTCCTCATTATTATCATCAGCATCACTAATAGACTCATAATTTGAGAAGCCTTGTTCCAATTCATCTAAAATACTTTTATCCAAAAGGGGTTTAGTTTCAACGTCGATTATTGATTTATTGGAGTTTTCAATTAGTTTTTGTCTCAAAATGTTATCGCTTGTTTCACAACGTACTTTAAAAAAATACATTCGGACAGTTTCCTCTGCGCAAGTTTGGCAAATCTGTTCTGGTAAACCATCTCCTAGAGTTATCTGAAATAATTAATGATTGTCGTGGTATAAATAAATATAAATATAGTCGTATTCACGATAGAGTTTAAATTTTGACCGTTATTTTCACCAGTTGAAAATAAATAAAATCCCCAGATCTGTCCCTTTTTCTGACAACTATCAAATAATGATACATGACATTTTGATTTGACACATAAAAATATCAGATTCGGGTCTTTGAATTTTAAACTTCGAATTTTTGTGTGAAATCCTTTCAGTTTTTTGCTGTTTTCTGCATTATTTTGTCATATTCGCAAACGGTTTTTTGGTTTTTTATGTAGTGTTCTGTGCCTTTGTGTTTCGGTGTTGCGTTTCAAACTTGGTTTTAGTTTGGATTTAAGTGTTTACTCTTATTATAAGTGTTTACTTTGGACTCTAATTTTAGGATTTTTGGATTTTAATAACTTAACTTCCTTTAAAAAAATTGAAAATAATTTTTTATTCTGAAATGTATATCACTTTTCTAAATACGACCCTGTCGTTTATCCCAGCTGACGGAATCGAAACGCTACGCATGCTGACAACCTAAAGAAAAAGTTTACTAAAAATGTCAACACGAACTGTCAACTTCACTTTCTATCGTGATTTAGTCTATACCAATCCATACTATTGTGATTGTAAATAGCTGCATACATTATTAAATGTAGCTTAATTTACGACAACCCTTTTTTGTCAAGTTTCAAGGTCAAGTATGAACCTTGGTGAAACGAACTTTACGTCTATCCATTGGTCAGAAATCTTATCAGAACATAAGCAAGTCTTCTGACAACTCGTACTCTAATAGTTGCCAAAAAAAAGAGACCAAAGCCTGAGCAGAAAACAAGTGATGTTATGGAAGCTTTACACATAGAAAAAAAGTAGGTACAAGATACTGTTTCAGTGGTATGATGGACTAATTGAAGTTATTGAAGACCTTAAGGATGAGATGAGTGAAACTAGGTCTGAATTATATAAAAAGGATCAAAAGGACCAAGAATAACCTTATTGTTCGTTCACGGGATTCCTTATCAGTCAAATGAAAACTTTGATAAAAAAAAAATAGTAAATGAGCTCCAGAACATAAATTGCAATTTCACATCATTTAGAGTTGATGATGATAAAAAAAAGGATGCTAAAATCACCTATAAAATACAATCGATTGGGTGATTCAGGGTCGGCGCAAGCGACTTTGGCGCCCTAGGCCAATGTACTGTCTGCCGCCCCCATCTAGTGAAAATACAAATATATGCATGGCTATTTTTTAAAACTTCCTTTATAGTTTTATTGATGATTATAAATAGTAAAACCTGACTTACAGAATATAGCTAGAATATCAACATAAAAAAATACATACACACATGCCCGCCGCAGGCGCAAGCGGAGGCGAGAAAACCCTGTTCTGATTCTGATGCCACACCCAAAGCGTTAATTTTGTGCCGAAAATATTCATAATATAAAATAAGTAGTTTTTGGCCGCCCGCCACCCGGTCGCACGACCCCTAGTGAATAGCAGTCGCAGAAACAGGTATGTGCGCAAAGGCGGGTAACACACTGGAGAAATAAGTTACATGAAACTTGTTGGAAGAAACAGGAAATTTGTTTCATTATCACACGACCACGACATACAGGGTGACAATTTGAAAAGTAGCAATCTGTCACCCTGTATACATTCAAATAAGGCGGCGGACACTGGCGAAACATTTTCTGCTCTCCTGTTCCAGGAACGCCAGTGTGCTCCGCCTCATTTGAATGTACCTATGTGTCATGTGATAATGAAACAAATTTCCTGTTTCTTCCAACAAGTTTGATGAAACTTATTTCTCTAGTGTGTCACCGGCCTAAGAAGGGCAAAGTTTGTGTTTGAATTTGCAAGAGAAATGGAATCCTGAATATTATGAAGCAAAGAAGAATTCAAAAGATTTTTTTTTGTAGCCTTTTTGCCGCCCCTTCAAGTTTGCCGCTCTAGGCGACCGCCTAGTTCGCCTAATTGTTGCGCCGACCCTGGGGTGATTGGAAAAAGGATAAAATTCCAGTAAGCCTTACTTTTGGGAAATAAAAAAAAAAACGTTTTTGCGGCGAAGCCGGTAATTTTACAAATATCTACTACGTTTTCATGGAGTTTTGAAATCGTTTTGAATACGGTTTTGGTATTGAAAACGCCATGAAAACAGGTAGGTACTGAAATCGATTTCAGTCTCAAGGTCGTTTCACCTTTTTTTGGGATCGTATCGGGATTTAAATTCAGAAACATGCAATTCGATTTCAATTCTAATTTTGCCTCTGCATGAAAACGGGAAAGAGGATTGGATTCAAAACGATTTGAAAACTCCATGAAAACGTAGTAATCATTACTATTGGCCAATTGTACACTTTGACAAAGTACATTTGATGCCAAAGTTTCACCGGTTTATACCTATCTGGTAACTAGCTACTCAAAATGAAAATTTTATCCTTTTTCCACTCAAAATGCAAAAAAAAATTGAAAAAAAGGAAAAGTCTACATTTATAAAGAAAAAGAAGTAGTATTTATTGAAGAAAACATCATTTTAAAAACTCAGATGCTCGATGCTCTGATATAGCGCGAAGTTCTAATCCGTGGAAGACCGATACAATTTCAGGAATATTATCCTTTTTCCACTCACGAATCAAATTATGATAGGAAGCGGGCCGGCGATTTTATCGTTGTTGTGCTCAGCGGGAAGATAAGAGAAATTAGAATAAAATGGCTATCTCACTTTAATTTGCCATATTTTTGGAATTTTATCCTTTTTCCAATCATCCATTCAATTTCAATACCAAAGCCCTAGGATATACTATCGACTGTTTGTAAAGGCATATAACTAATATCCTGCTGAAGAAATTACTGAATTTATTGCAGGATCTCGGAAAGTTTGTACCTTGCAAACTTGATAAATTTGTGTTGAACACTGTCAAGCCTATTGATGTGGAGCTGATAGTAAGGCGACCAAACTATGCATGAAAATTCAAGAACGGATCTGACTAGTGACGTGTTAAGAAATTTGATAGCGCGTATACTTATAAAGTCCCTAGTACCTAGCTCTCTTAATAAAACCCAACATTCTATAAGGCCTGCCAATTGCCACTTCAAAATGCTTGGGGAACATTAACCTAGTATCTAAATAGACACCAAGATCTTTAATCACGAAACTTCAAACAAGCCAATATTATTTATTAATACTGAAGGGGAACCTTAGGGGTGAGTCTACTTAATCTTATACAATAACACTTAGCAATGAGGGATGTCATTCGGCTGACACTAATCATAAACTTATAAGATCATTTTGCAGAATGAGTATCTCTTGACCTGACGATACAACTTCAAGTCATCAGTGAAAATTAGAAAATTTGGGGAGTGAAACGATCCTAAATCATTGATAAATAAGTTGAATAGAAGGGGCCCAAGTGAGAGCCTTGGGATACCCGACAGGATGCATGGAAAAAGGAAGAAAGATAGCTATCGATCTTGACTTGTTGTATTCGGTTAGTAAGGTAAGACTTCATCCATGAAAGTAAAGGTTCATAAATGCCATAACTTGAGAGCTTTGAAAGAAGAATGTTGTGGTTCACCTTATCTAAGGTTTTACTGAAGTCCATTTTTTGCATTGTTATCAAATGACGAATTTATAAACTTTGTAAAGAGAAACAGGTTCCTGTCAACAGATCTACCGGCTGTAAAACCATGCTGTTGACTGATCACAATCTGATGAAATATTTTAGATAGAATTTTTTCAACGCACTACTCAAATAATTTAGGAATTGCAGACAGGATGCTTATAGGACTGTAATTTGTTACATCATTCTTGTTGCCTGACTTGTGAATAGGACAAACATGAGAGAGCTTCCACATTTCTGGAAAAATTTTAGAAGTTACGGATTTGTTGAAAATATTAACAAGAGGCTGATATAAAGTGTTAGAACAAGATTTTAGTACTCTAAAAAATATGCAAAAAATGTAATAACAACATTTATGGAAGATATACATAAAAATTTCATCATATAACTGATCACTCAAAAACTTAATAGGTAAAAAGTTATATTATCTTCCTAGCTTAAGTTTCGATATTTATCTAGTAATTCGATTTCGAGGTTCATCTTCCCTGAACCTGTTTTTCTTTTCTGTAGATACATGTATTTTGAAAGTATGTGTATATTTCTTATTTAAATAAATTAAATAATAAAATTATTAAGAAACTAATCTGAAAAGGAATTGAACCACGCAGAAATAGAACAAAATCAATCAAAGGATGTAACCAAATATCAGTTTCTTTATTATTATTAATTTATCAACAGGTAATTTCCCAATTAGAAAAACAGTACAATTTTAGTAATATAATATACCTAATTTTTAACCTAACCATTTTAAACAAAATATAAAATTTAAGACTGAAGCTAAAATAAAATATTAAACAATATATAACAATTTATTTTTAAAAGTTCTTTGGTTGAAAAAAAAAGTCTAGAGTATCACAGTGTTGATTGGCAAGTTGAGCGGTCCCAGACAAAAATGAGTTTAAACCATAGTTGGTTCTATGGGGTGGAGCATAAAAGGAATGGTTCTGTCTCGTTTGCCGTAAAGGAACGTGAAGCCCAATTTTTTCAGTAAGATCAGGAGTAAAACTGTGAGAGAGTAGTAAATTGTAAGGCCCCTGTGAAGACGACGAACTTGAAGACTACCAATATCGAGTTAGTTTTTCATTTCAGAATAGTTGATGTTTTCAGCAGTATGATGCTCTTTGAAAGAGATGTACCTCAAAAGTTTATGCTGCACTTTTTCAATAGCCTGGATATTGACATCGTAATGAGGAGTCCAAACACAAGAACAGTATTCGAGGTGTGGGCGCACAAGAGAGCAATACAATGTTTTAATTGAAGAAATGTGAAGAAAGTCCTTAGTACAGCGCTTGATGAAACCCAAAATGTGAAGTGATTTCGAGATAGCCAACGATATTTGAGGTATAATATTAAGACAACCTACTATCCAGAATAACTCCCAAATCTCTTATCTGAGAAACAACATTCAGCGGACAACCATTCACAGAGTATACCCACTAGGTGGGGTTTCTACCACAACTGAAAATCATTGGATGACACTTTTAAACATTTAATTCCATTCCATTTTGATTACACCAACCAAATAGACGATTCAAGTCAGATTGTATTTTTTAACAATCTTCGGTTTTGTCGACTCTCATGTAAAATTTTTAATCATCGGCAAACATTAAAAAAAAGGTGTGTAAAAAACAGGACGAAAAATCAGTAATGTACATATTGAAAAGCAAAGGGCCAAGATGCGAACCCTGCTACATCAGGTGTACCCCAAGGAAGCAACTTGGACTCCCTCCTTTTTATATTATTTATTAATGATTTCCCTCGTGATTTCCCTAACTGTGTTCAAACTTCTACCAGTTTGCTTTATGCAGATGACTTTAAATTATTAAACAAATATATAATGAAAATGACTGCATAAAATTACAGAAAGATCTTGACTCTGTCCTTCCTGCAGTAGTTTGATGAGATCAAGATGTCTCTTAATGTTAAAAAGTGTATGATGGTCGTGTCTTTAACTCGTAAAGTAAATTATTTCATTGAGGATTATTATATAAGTGTTAATAAGATAGAAAGAAAAAATGAAGTGAAGGATCTCGGCGTTAATTTTGAGATGAATTTGAAATTTAACAAACTTTACAACTGCATAACCAGTAAGGCTTTTCGAGCACTGGGATTTGTAATATGTAACAGTGGGGATTTTCAGATGAATACTGTTGTAAGATTATACAATGCACTTGTGAGGTTCCATGTGGAGTGTGCATCTGTGGTATGATCACCAATAGCAAACAGAAATATTGATGTTATAGAGATAATACAAAAAAGGTTTTCAAGGTATCTGTATGTAAGAAAGAACCTGGTGACCTACAAGTCCATGCTTAGAACTTTTGAGTTTTCAAGCTTATATGCAAGAAGGAAAATTCAGGCTGTGACATTATATCTATTATATTTTGAATAATAACAAATACAAGAAATTTTATCTTATTCAGTTTGTGAATTTCCAGGTACCAAAGATTAGACTTAGAATTTTAACCAGATAAATTTTTAGTGTTACAGTTAATAGTACATCGCCCATTAATAATATTCTAGCCTATTGTAATGAGATGTTAAGTAAAAATGAATTTTTCGATTTTTTCAACACGAGCCCTAAAGAAGTACTGGATTTGTTGGCGTTGCATCAGGACATATAGCTTTCTTTTATTCGTGTGTATTGCTTAGTTTTCTACTGTTAGTCAAGTATTTGTATTGTTGTTTTTTTTTTGTAAATCAAATAACTACTTATTTGTAAGTTTTCTTTGCATGTAATTACTGGAAATCAGTGTTTGTGAAGAGTAAATAAATTTTAAATGACTTGTAACTTTGAACACATACTACTTGCGTTCTACTAGAGAGATAACATGTCAACCACATTAAAAGCCTTCCATGAATCCGTTTCAAAGCCAATTTTTGAATTAGTATGTTCACACGATCGAATGCCTTTGAAAAATCGGTGTACATGATGCCCCTCCTCCAGGGCCTTCAACAAAAAGTCAGTAAATGTGAGCAGGTTGTGTCAGTCAAGCGATGCGCAAGAAACTCAAATTGTTTGTCACTAAAACTGCTTTCCAAATTTTTAGCACAAACAAGACTTTAGGTATATAGCTTCGTATACTAATGGGCCTATAGTGATCAACTTGCGCTTTATCTCTTGGTTTTAGAATAGACGTAATAAAGCTAGTTTTCCAGAAAGTTGGAAAAATACCGTTGTCCAAAGATAGATTAAAGATGAAGTGAAGTGGATGTGCCAGTGAAGCTACATAGTTTTAGAAGACTTGGGGAAATCCAATCTGGGCCTGGATTCTTGCTGATATCTAAGGATGACAGTTTTACATAAATTTCAGAAATAGAAACATTACAACTAGACAAATTAATATGACTGAAACTCGGACTGAAAGAGGGGACATTGTGTGAAACATCACAGACAAACAGTCGTATGAAGTGAAGCAAATGCTTTTACTCTACCTCCGTCTCTTTTTGCTGCATTAAAGCTAAATATGTTTATTTCAAAAAACTCGAGTAAAAGCATATGCTCAAGTTTTATGCATATTATGTTATTCTTTTTACTGTTAACGAACTTCCAAAAGTTTTTAACATTAACTCTCAAGGAAGATTTAGTTTGGGCTATATAGCATTAATAAGACTGATTCTTATTGATTTTACATGTTATAGTCCTCATAAAGTCCAGTTGAAACGTATTTTTTGTGTGCTTTTGTCTTTTCGATTATTGTTTCCTTCAAGTCCTGAGAAAACCACACAGGATAATTTTTGGCAGAGTACTTTTTACAGGAACAAAATCGTCAAGAGTTAAGTAGAAAACATCATAAAATACATTGATCATATCGTCCAGAGATTTATTTATGAACAAAGTGTCCCAAGTGAAACAGGAGAGAAAGTCACACACTACAGTGATGTCCATGCCATGGAAGTCTTTATAAAAACCATCACCTGTGATTCCATGATTGTTGAAATGGTGATGTTCACACTTAATACTAAAAATTAGTGGTGAGTGGTGGTTGTCCACAGGTAAGAGACTTTCGTCTACATAGAGAGTTGTAGCTTGCTTGTCCTGCAGAAACACCAGATCCAGGATAGAACCGGTCTCTTTTCCAAGTGAGTTTACCTGACATAGGTTATGGTATGAGCCTATGAGCATAAAAATGATGGACTCAACATTTTTCAGAGAAGCTGTTGGCAGAGGGACAGCCTCGGGTACAGCCTCAGAGGCCAAATCAACTTTTGAACATTGTCGATTTGGAAGATTAAAATGGCCCAAGCACACAGTTAACTATCTGGGTATGCTTCCGTCAGTTTTTCCAGGCTGTCAGCAAACTGTGCAGTGCATACTTTTCAATGGCACTACGAGGTAAGAAATAGGCAGTTGCAAAAATGAAATCGGTACCGTTTATATCAATCTGTACAAACAAATTTTCAATGTTACTACTCGCTTCCAGGACTCTACTTGTGATATTCTTTCGAACTGCTATTAGTACCCCCCCCCCCCTTGAGAATAGAGAATACGCTTGTTTCGACAGATCTGTCCCTCCTGCAAATATTGAAATCAAGCATTTGAAGTTCAGCATCCTGGAAGTGTTCCGTCAACCAAATTTCATTAACAAACACAAATATGTTATTCAGAGTAAGAAACATTCTCAAAAAGCAATTGAAGTTTGGTGCGTAAACTCCTAACATTTTGGAAACAGACAAGTGAATTGGATGTGGAAGAGGATGTGGATTTTACTACCAAAGAACTAGTTAGTTTTTTGTTGCCAATCTGGGAATCCCATTAATGTACTTCAAAAAAAGCTTCTTTTCACCTCTTAGCAGTCCTTGTTTCATTTTGTTCTTTAAGTTGTTGAGCTCGACACGTTCAGAAGTTAAGTCAGCTGCCTCTATCCAACTTCTTACTTTTTAGAACTAGACAAACAACCTCTGGAGATTGAAGGGAAAGCCGCAACGAACGATGTCCATTTTTGTCGCGTTTCCCATCTCTCCGTAATGTAAGAAATAAAATTGGACCATTAACTTATGGCTTTTGAGTCGCCGGACATTACACTATGAATTCATGAATTGTCCCTATTGATTCACATGTCGTTTATTTTTTGTAGTCTCACTTCTGGAAGCTTTGAATCCAGTTTAAGGACTAATAAACGTTTACACAGCCAATGTATCAGGCAGTGAAAACCTACAATAAATTGCCTTCAGAGAATTGCCTGATACAGTTAAGCAAGCATATAAATTCAGCAAATTTTCATAGGTACTATTGAGGCTGAAAAACTTAGTACTTATTTTGTTGGGAGTGCGATTAGGGATTAAAGGGGTTGTTTTATGCTAAAGTCGAGGCTAAAGTATTGGCTTATGGAAATAATGAAGAAATGGTTTAAAAAAAAAAGATATCAAATTACCTGGATATGGGCAAACGAACAAATCATTTCCGAAAGATGCATCGTAGTGTTGGTATTTTCTATTTTAACTGATGTGAAGACTGTCTGAAATTCCCCAGTATCTGCCAGACAAACTCTACAAAGGAAATTTTCCATTTTTTTGATGTTAATAACAATTAATAATATGATATAAATATGATGGAAGGAAAATCTAGAAATTTCCAGTTTTCCACCTGGAAAAAAAACCAAAACAAATAGCTGACAGTAAAATGACAGTGACAAGAATTTCCATTTTTGGATTTCCAGCTTTCAACAACGTTGCCAAATCTATGAAAAGTGCCAAGGTAGTCGGTAGATCGATTAGAAGGTTTGGCAGCTTTGTTGAAGGCTGCTAATTTTTATAAGGCCTATTTTTTTAAAATTAATACTAATAATAATTATAAATGAAACAATGCGTAATGAGTTAAGAGAAAAATCCGAAAACCCTTTTGTTCAGGGTTGCCTACAGCCTGCTACCACTGATTTCTCTATCTCTTTTCCTCTCTTTAGTTGTAGAGTGCTGCGTCAAATGAAAAATTTTGTATATCAAAATCCTCCTACCAGCTACATGGAGGAAATTTGTCATTGTTTACAAACAATTCTCATTTTTATGGTAATAATTACTTCAGGCTTCCACACGATGAACAATTAAAAACAAAAACAGTAGCTCACTGTCGGGTCGCGAAGCAAGTTCGTATTTCTCCTGAAACAAATAAATTCGAACAAAACAAAATTAGAAAGTTGCGCCAGCGATCTCTTTTTTTCTCACTGCCTACTGTGCCTCTGCTTGCTATCTTTCACTGCTGAGAAATCAACATGGCGTTACATTGCTGAAAAGATACAAGTAGTGGGACTCGATTCAGCAGAAAAAACAAATCAGTTTTGTTCTCTAATGTTGTGGATTTCGAAAAAATTAAGTAATGTTAAGGTGTAAATATTCTAGCAGTGTAGATTCTGTCATTAAACTCTACACTTCTAGCAGGTAGGTCTTTGACCCCTAAAGTTCATAATAATAATAATAGAATTTATTCCATTATTTCAGATAGCATAGAGTAAATTTTGAAAAAAATCTGCCGAAATGGCAGACAACGGCCAAGGGCAAACGGTTGAATACCAGTGGGCCTACTCGATAATGGATTCCAGTAGGGTATCAACTTTTTTAATTTCGATGCTCTTGATCGTCTACGGAAGCTTCAGGAGTTTAAATATGGAACAAGAGGCTAGAGAGAAGGCTCACGGGTCTACAAACTGTCTTTTAAACCCTTCCCAGAGCGTTCCGGTAGAGAATAATGTGCAAACTTTGGATACCATGCACGCACTTTGTTTACCTTTAGGAGCCAGTGTCTCTTTGCTCGTGATGTTCTTTTTCTTTGATTCTATGCAGATGCTTTTCGCTATTTGTACGGCAAGTAAGTACCAACACTATTTTATTGTTTAACTAAACTAAACTGAAAACACTAGAGAAAACTGTAAACAGGAACAATCACAAAGAAAAAATTAATAATTCAAAAAAAGCTATGTCTGACTGAAAGTTTGTTTTAACACAATATAATATGCTGCAAATGCAAAATAGTGGAAAATGATAGTTATGAGACTTCAATCACCAACTAAAAAGACACTGTAAAATGTGAAGCTTCATGATAGAACAAAAATAAATACATGTTCACATTCACATACATTATAAATGTTTGTTAAGCAACACATAATTATCAGTAATGCAGAACCTTAGATTGTTCCAACCAACCTGAGAACCGTTCCAGAACCAGTAATTTCCAGTTGCCTGCCTATTTTTCAATAAGTTGAACGTTTATCCTACTTGACAAATGAATTGAATGACTGGAAATTACCTGTCTAGAACGGTTCTTATGTCAGTTGGAACAGAGCTGGTAATTTCCCCATAAATCAAACAGCTCTCAATTTCCCCATAAATCATAAGCACAGAGCTCGGCACAGAGGGGAGAGAGAGGTTTTATGGCTACCTCAATATTTTATGGCCAATGACATCTTTTTATGGCCAATGACATCTTTTTATGGCCATTTCCATCAACTAAGTGTGTGTTTACAATGAAGCTTAACTGAGAGCTTAGTGCACGGATTTCCTTAAGTTGAAGTTAGCTCAACTTTGAGTGGTGCATGATCTTCAACTTTTCTTTATTAAAATTCAAATTCAAATTTGTATTAGGTAGGTATTAAGTAATTTTCCCTACGTTGAGTTAAGTGGATGTAAATGACCCTTAATTCCCTAAAATAGTTGGTGCAAACGGCCCAATAATACTAATAGTCCAAGAGCCAGCGCCAAAAAAGTGCAAGAGTTTCATGAAAGCTGAAAATGTAATATAAGCTTGTATTTGTGATGTATATAACTATACTCGAGTCAGCAAGTGAGGTAGCGGGACAAGCTCTGCCCACGCACCTTTGAATGTGTAAAAAATTAATCGCGATAAAAGAGTTTCATGACAGCTGAAAATTTCTCAATCCATTGTTTATTTGATAAAAAACATGACGGACATGGTCAGATAGCATTATGTTGGGACAACTAGAGTCAGCATGCCTATACAGGGTGGTCCATTTAACTTGAGACAGTTTAATATCTCGAAAACGGTGCGTTTTTGGAAAAAAAAGTTCAAATAAAAATTACATGGTATCATGTGGGAAACAAAATGGCGGTACTGATTTTTGACTTTGACAACGTTTTCAAGGTTATTTCAAGGTCAACTCTTTTTTTTCAATGGAAATATATTTTTTGATTACAGAATCTTATTCTACAGAAAAAAACAAGTAACTTTTACTTGAAGAATTTTTCGATCCGGTTTCAATTTAAGCTGATAAAAATGAACGAATAATTTTTTTTTTCCTCCTCACAAAATCGAAAAGTAGAGAAAGGTTACCAAAAATACCTCAAAAAATATAACAATTGATCAAATTGACGACCGCCAACTTCAACACACTTGTTAATTCGCTGTAAAAAGCTTTCATGGCACCACATTACAGTTTCTTTACTGACAGCTCTAAGCATTTCTTATGTGTTCCATCATATTATCCGGTGTTGCGGGAACCTCTTGATAAACTGTGTGTTTGATTTTTAAAGTGAATTGACAAGTGTGTTGAAGTTGGCGATCGTTATTTTGATCAATTGTTATAGTTTTTGAGGTATTTTTGGTAACCTTTCTCTACTGTTCGATTTTGAGAGGAGAAAACAAAAAAATTATTCGTTCTTTTTTATCAGCTTAAATTGAAACCGGATCGAAAAATGCTTCAAGTAAAAGTTACTTGTTTTTTTCTGTAGAATAAGATTCTGTAATCAAAAAATATATTTCCATTGAAAAAAAAGAGTTGAACTCGAAATAACCTTGAAAACGTTGTCAAAGTCAAAAATCAGTACCGCCATTTTGTTTCCCACATGATACCATGTAACTTTTATTTGAACTTTTTTTTTCAAAAACGCACCGTTTTCAAGATATTAGACTGTATCAAGTTAAATGGACCACCCTGTATAGGCATGCTGACTCTAGTTGTCCTAACATAATGCTATCTGACCATGTGCGTCATGTTTTTTATCAAATAAACAATGGATTGAGAGATTTTCAGCTGTCATGAAACTCTTTCATCGCGATTATTTTTTTACACATTCAAAGGTGCGTGGGCGTAGCTTGTCCCGCTACCTCACTTGCTGACTCGAGTATAGTTATATACATCACAAATACAAGCTTATATTACATTTTCAGCTTTCATGAAACTCTTGCACTTTTTTGGCGCTGGCTCTCCGACTATAAAATACTAAAATGCTCGCTAAAATGATGAAATTTCAAATTTTTTCATGTTGAGGTTTTGTGTTTAATCATTTGGGACCCCCCAAACTCCATACACTGAAGTTTTCTGAGATTTCAAGCCGAAATCTTTGAAAGAAGGACATCAGAAAACTGAAAAATTAAAAATTCACCCCACATTGCTTAACGCGATTTTATTTCTAGAACTATTAGGTCAAATCGAGGGTCAAATGAGCTGAATTTTTTTAGTCCTTGCTTGTAGTCTTCCACTACAATAAGAATCGCTGAAAATTTCAGCCTCGATTTCAGCTTTCTATCTGTAATAGAAAAAAAGTTATGATTTTTCAAAGTTTTCCAAAATTTAAATCATAAGGTAGCCTTACGGTTTGTTTAAGATCATTAAAAGGGGTGTGACCCTAAAAAACGACTCAAGCTACCTAAATCAAGAAAAAAAACCTAAGATCTCTTGTGAAAACCGCAGTGAAGATAAATTATGCAGGAACTTGAGTCGTCACAACCGCTGAAATTGCAGTCTTCTGTTCGTTCAGTCATCAGTGAACCGTACCCTATACTTTGAGTGGTTGCAATTCGCTCTAAAGAGATAATTGTTTTGTGTTTTGGAAAATTTTATACACACATTCTATACACAAATACACATGTTAATACTGTGCCTGATAATCCGTTGCATAAAAAACTCCCCCCTTTCAACCCCACAGCCCCCAAAGCCATCCCATAGAAAATCTTAAATGGAAAGGGGGGCCAAGTGGTTGAAACTAGTTTCCTGACTGTTTCTGATTGTTTTCAACCAATGAAATTCGCTCTGACTGGTTTGTGATTGCTGTGCGAACAGGCCTAATTTCACTCAATTTGGTATTTGAAATTGAAGGTGACAATGACAATTGTCAAAATAATTTAATTATTTGGATAATAATAATGAATGAAATAAATATAAAAAAGATGTCCATGTGTGAATTCGAACATTCGGGGAAAAAATTATATGTTTTACATGGCAGAAAAGCAGATTTAATGCCTCGGCTGGTTTCCTAGCCTCGGCTATGAAACACTAGCCGCGGCATTAAATCTTGTACTTTTCTGCCTAGTAAAACAAATAACTATTTTGCAACTTTAACAGGCTGTAAAACCCCAGGTAAAACCTAAATGGTTAATTTTAGAGGAAAACTTATCTTACATTCTTGTCTCAGATTTTCATAAACTATCATTTGACACTAACTTTGAATTTAATCCATGGTAGAAAATTCCAATTCAAAGTTGGTGTCAAATGATACTTACCAAGGTCTGCTGTTGCTGAAACTATTTCTTATAAATCCATAGGTACTGATATTTATCTAAAGTTATATTTTTATCCATGAAATTAAGCATTCTTTTTTTGATAATTTTTTCCAAAATCTTACTGAAAACAATGATTAGTTGTTAAAATTGTCCTTGTTTCCCGATTTATATATAGGGTTAATTCTAATTATTTTCAATTCTTCTGGAAATAGTTACCACTGTTCAATACCAAATTGGTAATCTTAGTCAGGATAAGAATCATTTGCTCCTGTAAATTAATTACATCTAAAACCGAAACCCGGTCATGGCCTGGGGCTGATATATTTTTTTTTAAACCGTGTATAACTTCCCAGATTTCTATTTCGCTACATCATTGACAATACATAGTATTATTACCCCTTAGGCCCTTGGCCCTTAGAGCCAAATTATGGACCAACTGGTAAGTGTCTGGTTGTTACCTAGCAGGTACTTTCTATTCTCTAGTGCATAGAAAGTACCTGCTAGGTAACAACCAGACGTTTACCAGTCAGTCCATAATTTGGCCCTTATGCAGATAGACTTGCTGGTAACTATCTGCAAGATAAATTTACCTTTCTATAATTCTGCTGGTTGGCGGATAAATGGCCGACCAATTCAATTTCAGATTGCGTTTTCATTCGTCAAATTGCATATCTGAGAGTTTATCAGAATAAACCGGCCCTTGATGAACTATTATTTTATCGGGAAAAAATTATAAGTTTCTCACATATTCCACCAGAAAATAAAACCAAATATTTAATGCGATTTCCGAGGGTTCTTATGGAAACTTTCAAATACCATAATAATATTGGCAAATTACAAAATGATATAGAAAAATTATATATCATTGGATAGGTAATTTTATGCGTATTCTTAAAAAGTTAAAAATTACAGGGTGTCTCATTTAAAAAAGATGAAGTTTGTGTCATATCTCTTAAACGGTACCTCGGAAAAAAAATTCCAGCACGCCAATGAAATCTATGAAGAAAACTAAAGTTGATTCCACGAAACGAGATAGTAGAGGTAAACAAACAGGCGGAGCTTAAAAATTCAGAGGACTGCAAAAATATGAATTAAAACTAATGACATTTATTATTGTCAGGTTGTCATATGAGTCAATAAGTTTATTGTCGTATTTCCTAGTATTTTACAAATATTTGAATAGTGTTTGATGAATTATTGTTAATAAGTGAGCATTTTAGATTAAAACAATATCAAGTTCAACAGATTCCGCTGAAGAATTCGTTTGGAAATATATTCAGAGAAGAGAAATACAAAACAACCTAAGACGGTCCTGTCTAGGGCGGAGTATAGTCCTTTTCTTGCCAATAAAATTCAACTTACCTGTCAAAGTTTGTTTACTTTCACTATCTCGTTTCGTGAAATGAACTTTACGTCAGATACAATTTTCACCTTTTTGACATCTTTTCTCATACGCTAGATAATGACTACCCTTTCAAGTTTCACCCAGTACCCCAAATGAAATATGATAAAGACCTGCGGTTTGCGGCATTCGATTCGTCATAGAAAATTGCCCTGGGAATGTGAAATCAAAAAAAATCTACCTCTACAAGTTTAGCAGATAACTGAATTCCCATCTTCAATGGGACACCCTGTACAAATTTTTAGGAGTGCAGGGCTCCTCAGTTGAAGCATTGAAAAGGGAAAACTTAATCCTAATCTAAAAAATATACACTGAGATATTTAAATAAATTCCTTCAAAGGTGATCAAATTCTGTTCAATTCAAATACATTTATTTCTGTTCCTAGAGATGTTAACATGCTTAGGAATTTTTATTAGTATGATTATACATTGACATTGTCTTTTTAACTGCTCTTCCTGAAACAATAAAATATGCACCTAGCAGCTTTTATCAAAAACTTTTTAATTGATTAAAAAATAGTGGGCAATTTTTATTGCTACAAATTATAAATACATATTGTAATTACTAGCTTAGTGCTAAATACATATTATTACTCACTTCTAAGAAAACCTTGGATTACTGAAGTTATAAAAATGTCTGCAAAAAAAAACGCGATGTCTTCATTACATGGAAAAATGTTATATTTAATAATGCATTTTTTTCATAAGCTCTATAGAGCAATTTATATAGGTGACATTTAATGTAAATGCGTGTGATTATTCTAGTAGGTACTTAATTGTACACTGTTTGGGGTTGATAAAACGATTTTTAAATATGTAAAAATGTTGAAAATCTATTTGATGTTTGGTTTTGCATTTGGAAAAGATAGAGATTTTATGTAATGTAAATTCTGTTTTAATACCTACCAAATAAGACCAATATTATTATGAGGTTCAAGTCAATTTAAGTGTATTGATATAGAAAATCTTGAGCCTATTTAAAAGAGAAATTCACTTGAAGCAATAATGTTTGTAGCCATGACAACTTCAAGTGGCAATATTTTGAAAAATGTTTGAAGTAAATCCTGAAATTATATTAAAAACCCAAAAATCTTTGGGAAAATACGTAAAAAAACCAGCTTTAAGTGAAAAACTATTGAAGAAACCACCATTTAGGTTTCTCCACGACATCATCAAAGTTATAATCAAGGATACTGGTTTTTTGAAGGGGCTATTTATAAAAACAGAGCTTGATAGTGAAAATGTGAAGGAAAAAGAGGCCAAACTTGCCTTTTTAACAAAGCTTATTGAAGCAATAAAGAGTCTATCTAAAAAGGACCTCAAAGTACGTCCAAGCAAAATTATTGCAGGCCTAGAACCCACTGAAACCAACATATTATTGCAAACTATTGCAAAATGTATTGATAAAAAAATCAATTCAAATGAATATGTGGCAAAAATTAATTCTAGTAAAATTGAAAAACTATCTTCTAGCACAAAGAAAACAGATAATCCTTTCAAAAGAGGGTTAGAAACCTTAAAAACTAATGACAGAGCTCAGGAATCTTCTAGAAGGAAAAGGGAGGAAAAGAGCAGCAACACTGAGGAAAAAACTAAAACACAAAAAAAACACAAAGATGAAATTCCTGATCCTTCTGAAGTTCAAGCACAATCTCCAAAATCTATGGAGTCAATATTGGATCAAGCTAATGTGATACAGCCAAATACCTTTTTCAATGCTAGACAAAATAATTCTGGCCTTATTCGACCAAAATCAGCAAAACTCAAAAGTGTCTCATCCTCTAGAGTCGCAAAACCAGATGAAAAACTACCTCGAGGCTTTTCAAGTGTACGTCCATCAAGTGCTAGACATGCTGCACCTAAATTAAGGCCAGAATCAGGCAATAATGAGGCTAATATTAAGGCCATAGTTGAATGTTTTGATAACATGTTATACGAAGATGGCACGGTTGTCATAGAGAATGTTCCAGAAGAAACAACGAATGAAGAATTACTGATTTCTGCTAGTGAAAATCAAGGCCAATTAGTTGAGCAAATCCTAGATCAAATTCAACAAGAAGAAAACTTTGTCAGAAGAGTTGATATCGATTGGGAACAAGATGGTAAGGATGCTACAACCAAAGAAGTTACCCAATTGAAATCCCTTATACAATCACTAACGAAAACAGCGAGCCCTTTGGGCAAATTGATGAATTATTTGCATGAGGACTTGGACGCTATGCACAATGAGTTACAAACATGGACCAATGCAAATAAACAACTTTATGTAGAGATACATAAACAAAAAAAGCTAAACGTTGAGTCCAGTGAGCCACTTCTGAAGCAGCTGAGTCAATTCAAAAATCAAGTCAAGAAACTCGAGCAGGATATTTTTACTGTGCGCAGCAACATTTTGAGAAACGACCAACAAATTTTGGAGTATTTAGACAAGAATTAGCTAAACCAATAAGGTTCTTTATTTTTACACTTTTTTAGTTCTAACAGTAACTAATCTGACTAGGAAATTTGAATTTTTTAGCAAGAATTAGATTGTTGGAGTGTGTGATTCAATCAACTGGAATTTAAATTTAGAAAATATGCTTAATATAAACTCCTGTAATCTAGCTAGCTTGTTATTTGGTTTATAAGCTCTTCATCTCCATCTATAAATACTTAAATAAGTAAAATAATAAAACTAACATTTTACAGATCATTGAAAAATATCTAAATTCCAATTGCTCGTATTCTTTGGATGAATTTAGCAGAATCAATCTCACAGACATTGAACTATACATATTTGTCTCCATATTTGTAATAACTGAACTGTATCCTTTATTAAACTATAATAAAAATGTTTCTTTATCCTTGATCGATAAATATTAATTAATCAGTATATTTTTCTTTCCTGACATATGTAAGCAGCAATCCATTGTAATAAGATTAATACATTTTTTATTTGCATTTTCTCTAACATTTTTCTCATTTTGGCCTTTTGATGATGGCCACAAACCAAATTTCTGAGGTAGGCAGAAAAACTATAGGTACTCTCAAGACTCAACTATGTCTCTGGATGCTCTTATTGAAGCAGTTTTCCAAAAAATTATATGAAGGAAATCCATGCAAAAATCAGTCTACTTTGTGTATTCCACTAAAAAGTCTCCAATTTTTATAATAATTCTTTCCTTAGAAAAAGTAATCCATAATAAATTATTGTATTTTTTAAAACAATAACAGGACATTATACAATATTGTTTACATTAATTTTTACACTATCTACCATAAACCACTTTTTCTTTGATAATTGTAGCTTAGTGTGTTAATTTTTCATCTATAATGATAATCCTCATGGATTTCTGGTATAATTATTATTGTTTTCCATTTATGGCAAATCTTAAGTTGACAATTTGAAACTTTTTAGGTTTATTGAATTTTGAGAAACGAGACTTTCAGTACCTAGTTCAGGAGTTTTATTAAGTATTATTAATTTCTAGCCTTGAACAACAAATAAATAAACAAATTATCAACATCTTTTTGTCCTAATTAATTGAATAAAAATTAAAAACTATATATCTGGTGATAGATTTATGTTAACAATCTATAAATAAACTAATTACATAATCCATGTCACTGATAATCTATTTTCGTTTATAGCCAGAGATAAATTTTATGTACCTACTTGCTTACTTGATAATATGATTATCTTTAGCTTAGCATCATTTTTCATAAGAAAGCTTACTTAAAAAATAATGCATGCAGTTTTTTATTGTCGGGTCAATATAATTATTATTTTTAACATCTAACATTCTGTCACCCCCATGCTTTCTAAAAATACGGAAGCTTGGGTGTTTTAAAAGCCAAACGAGATTATTGTGTCACCAAAAAGTCCTCTATAATTAGAATTTATAAATTTCCAGCCAAATTGTTGAAACTAAAATAACACAACACGCTCAAGTAGGTTTCAAACAATAAAGATCTTATCCTAGTTCATTATAAATTGAATGCTTCTTGACTCTTTTAATAACAATGCAATGACATATTTAGATGAAATAATTATGTAGTTGTAATGGTGCAATTCCTGTTTAATGAATGTTGTTATTGGAATTTGTAATTCTTCTTGAATTAAATAACTATTAACAGCTGCTGCAAACTATGATGCATTTATGACAGAAGCAGTAATTTTAATTGGCTAACAACAATGGGTCAAAGTTATTTATCTCCAAATCATAAATATTGTACATAAATTATCAACATAAAATAAACTTAACCTGAATACAACCACAAAATCTCAATTATCTAAGGTTTCATCGTTCAGTAAATTTCCATAGCATAAAAATTAGGTCATTAGATCTCTGAACAATGAAAGTTTTAATCAATGAAAAAAGTGTAACTGAAAATTAATTGAAATTCTATCAATGAAACTTTTCGCTTGTCTGCCCGCTGTTACCAATTTTTATTTGGTGAAAGTTTTGATGATTTGGCTTTTTGGATGGTTTTGATTTTTTGCCTTTAGATTAAATCAAATTAGTTTTTTTTTTTTTTGTAAAATCATCTTTTTTTTTTCTTCTAGTTATCGCCACAGTCGCCCTAGCCTTCCTCCTTCTTCCCATGTGCCAGTACATTATCAGACCATGTTCGGATGGAACCAAAATCTCATTTGGAGTCTGTGGCAGGTTTACGGCAGCTGAACTTTTGTCATTTTCATTGTCAGTCTTCATAGTGTGCATATGGGTTTTAACAGGTGAGATTTTTCTTGTATATAAAACATATTATTCCATTCATACAATAAATTGATTATTCTAGGTCATTGGCTACTAATGGACGCAATGGGCATGGGTCTTTGTGTAGCCTTCATAGCGTTTGTCCGATTACCCAGCCTCAAAGTATCCACTCTACTATTGACTGGTTTGCTAATCTACGATGTCTTTTGGGTGTTTTTCTCCTCCTACATATTCAGCGCCAACGTTATGGTTAAAGTAGCCACCAGGCCTGCGGAAAACCCTGTAGGACTAGTGGCTAGGAAATTGCATATAGGCGGTGTTGCCAAGGAGGCACCCAAACTTAGCTTACCTGGGAAATTAGTGTTTCCTAGTATTCATAATAGTGGACATTTCAGTATGTTAGGTAAGAGTTAGAGCTATGAATACAATTTTCAACGAAAGCAAACAAAAATTAGTCAGTAGAACAATTTAATACATTGCTTTTGCTTTTACTCTCAAGATTATTGTACTGATAAATCAATTGCATTGGTTTTAATGTGGACAGTTCAATGATTAATATGTATTCTTCTTTAAATACATGGGAAAAACAAAGAAAATATAAATTCAGCATTTATTGTTTGAAAATAATTTAAAATGAAATATCAAAGAGATGCAGTCAGTGAAAGCTAAAAACGAACCTTTGATAAAGACTGGCTTTAAGTGTTCTAATCCAATAGTCAACGATTTATTGCAAGATGTGTGTCAACTTGATGCAAAACTCAAAATTTCTCAACATACAGGGTGATTCAAAAGTAAGCGGCATCCTTTCGGGGGCGTATTCCTTGCATAAAAATAAGACAAAAAGTTCCTATTAACATGGGTCCGGAAATGCTACCTAAGGGAGCTACGCCCCTTCGAATAGGACACTTGAAAGACATATTATTCTCTATAGGTAACTTTGAAACCCTTCACAAATGGATTTTGAAAATTGGTGTATTTTATAAACATTTGATGGCAATTAAGATACTAAATTGAAAATTCAAGAATCTTAATCAGTGGCGCCATATACTGGGGAGGGTGAGGGTTAAAACATCCCTATTTCTTTACTTGTCAGGTTTTTGCGAAACATACGCAAATCAGAAAACTTTTAAAGTCAATTTTCTCGTACACGGTACGCTGTATCGAAATGAACCAAGAGTACCTTTTCTATGTAAAAAACTCTAAACTTTCCGAATTTTTAATCAGAATCGCAAAAACCTGACGAGTAAAAAAAATAGGGATGTTTTAACCCTCACCCTCCCCAGTATGTGACGTCACTGATTAAGATTTTTGAATTTTCAATTTAGTATCTTAATTGCCATCAAATGTTTGTAAAATACACCAATTTTCAAAATCTATTTGTGAAGGGTTTCAAAGTTATAGAGAAAAATACGTCTTTCATGTGTCCTATTCGAAGGGGCGTAGCTCCCTTAGGAAGCATTTCCGGACCCATGTTAATAGGAACTTTTTGTCTTATTTTTATGCAAGGAATACCCCCCCCCGAGAGGATGCCGCTTACTTTTGAATCACCCTGTATATTAGTTTTCTTACATTTTGTCAGGTTTGGTCTTGTCCTATAATATCTTGCCTATAGAAAAGACCCCACAGACGCTCAGTTATTTTGCACAGCCGACTGTGCAGGACAATTTGCGCAAATTAATCTGTACCTGTGCCTCTCGCACACACGCTCAGTTTTTAGCACAGTTTTTTCCACACACTGTACAATCGACCGGAAGTATGCACAGACGTGCCGATATGCCTGCACAAACCAGGTTTGCCCAGTTGGCCTGTGCAAAATAACTGAGCATCTGTGTTCCAGGAACAAAAAGAAGAAAATGGAATGAAGAGAGTTGGGGGAAAAAAATATTATTTCTGTTCCAGTCTCTCTCACACAGCCACAACTCACGGTCGTGGATAAGATATGATACATTGCATTTATAATGTAAACATAGTATTCAACATTTTAAATACAAAAAATGAACGACAATAATCTTACTACATGACTTACAAATTAGATTCCTGAGGAGTATACCACAAACAGCAGCAGTAAACGCAAATTCAAGAGCCGAATGAAATCCCCATTACCAAAATGTTTGTGGTTTCCGTACCAAGCTGCAAACGCTTCGATGCAACATAGCAGTTAATCGTTACCACATAGTAGCTTTTTCAGAGACTGGCTTAAGCAATAACTTTCACACAGGAAAGCTTGGTTTTAATGCATATAATGTATTCCGTTATGATCGTTCAGCTGCAACCAGGGGGGGTCCAGATTGAATTAATAGAATCTACAAGCGATATAGAACAGGTACCTATATCTTGTAATTGGCACAGGTAAAAAGCAGATGGTCTTAGGATGTATCTACTTACCACCAAACACTTCACTAGAGAAATATGAGATCTTTGGCAACAATCTTGAAGAAATAACCCAACAGTTGCATCATGGTCTATAGAAGATGTATGCTCTACTGCTCACCGATCTAAGGATGGATATTTGCCTCTTACTGAACACAGCAAAATAAAATACATTTCTGAGGTCTGTGCATTCCAGAACCTTTTGCAGCTGAATGATATTTCCAACTCAAATAATGTTATTCTCGATTTGGTTCTTGGCCATTCCAGAATGTCCGTTAGCCTAATTCCAATTAAATTTCTCTAACACTAGAAAGCAATCACCCTCTGAGCTTTCGAATCAGTTTACAGCATAATCACAGCAATGCAAACTGCCAAGAAAATGGGTTCTACTACAACTTTAAAACTGCTGACTACAGAGTTATTAACGATTACTTGGGTTCAATCTCATGGGAGGACATGCTTTTAAATAAGTCTGTTACAATGAAATTTTAAAGCTTTTCCATGATGTATTGTATAAAACTTTTGATACCTTTGTACCAATCAGCCAGTAGAAAGTTTCCCAAATGGTTCTCACAAGACTCAAAAGCACTTACCTTACCGAGCTTGCAAAACTATATAATAAACACTGAAGCAGCCCTGCAACATAGCCCTAGAGAATTATGTTCCTACACAAGCTCTTTACAAAATTCCAGTGAACTACCATCTAGTTTTAACTTTAACGAGAAATCAGCCACTATGGGACCCCAAGCTCCTGAACTTTCTGCTGAATACTTTGTCTCAGTATACACTAACCAATCTTTAGACCCTTCCCACCAGCAATCTCTCAGTCCTAATGATTTGAATAATTTCACTATTTCAATCTCAGATATTTATACCGAGTTAAAAAACGTAGACCCACAAAAAGTGTTGTCTAGCCCTCTGCATGCTATATTTAACAGCTCACTTCAATCAGGCATTTTTCCTGACTGCTGTAAGACCAGCTACGTAGTACTTAGTCCTAAATTAGGAGATTCAGCAAACGTGGCCAATTATCGTCTTATTTGCATTTTTAACGCCATTCCAAAAGTGTTTGAGAACATTGTCGTAGAGTTTATAACATCTTTATTTGGAGCAGAAATTATATCCGACTAAAGGCCGGGACACATCTATCATGCATTCTTCCGATCCGACTCCGATCATACAATCAAGGTCCTTATTCTTGAAACAGGGGAGCAGCGGTCCCAGGAGAACACCTGGGAACACTGCTCCCTGTTCCAAGAATAAGGACCCTGATTGTATGATCGGAGTCGGATCGGGAGAATGCAAGATAGATGTGTCCCTGGCTTAATTCGGGTTCAAAAAGGACTCTTCTACAGAAACGAATCTTCTTACCTACTTGGACATACTGACAAATGCTTTGGGGACCTATACCGACTTCTCCAAAGCATTTGACAGAGTTAATCATGCAGTCTTGATCAGGAAATTGAAGACACTGGGCATTTCTGGCTTCCTACTCCTTTGAATAGAGAGCTACCTCACTGAAAGGGTCCAGATGGTAATGATAGACTACTTCACTTCTTCACAAATCCCAGTCTCATCAGGCCTCATCAGTCTCAAGGTTTACACCTGGGACCTTTACTTCTCAATATTATCAACAACGACATTGCATCTTTTTTCAGGCACTACCTTTTTCTGCTATTTGCAGACGATCTTAAACTGTTTTTGACAATAGCCACCCAAAATGACTGCCTCGCAAATCGCAATCCAGAAAGATGTTGACAGGCTAACTCTTTGGTACCAGACTAATGGCATGGAAGTAAATGTGTTGAAATGTAAAGTAAATAAATTTCACAAATCAAAAACCTTTAACAACTACATTTATCATATAAATGACACTTCCTTGGATTGTCTGGAGCAGATCAACATGACAAGATGGCGAACATTACTTACAATAAAATTATTTCTTATCACTAAATATCATATTAACAATTAATAGGTACAGGAACTTTGTTTAAGGAGTTAAGTTCTCATTTAAAGTCTTCACGAGTACTGAAAAAGTCCAGGGTATTAATCTCATTAGAGATTCGGTAAGCTTTGGAGATAAAAGTATTCGAACCTTAGTCCGGTGGATCTTTTCTCACAATGTCACACCCTAATTTATCAGAGTGCAACCAGGACTTTATCTCGTCCTTGTACCTAAAAAGATCTCTGCTTCCTTTAATGTTGAATAAGACACCATGATCAAAACAGGACACAAGTTTATTAATTGGATAAATTAATTAAAACATTTAAGTTATAATTTTATTTAAAAGACATTTCGTAAACTAAGATGGGATAACAAATTTCCGCCAGGTTGCCAATAATAAAAGAATTTACTTACATTAAATTCGCCATGAGAACTTTATCAAAACGAACGCTTTTTTCGAGATACACTTTTCCGAGACTTTTCTGCCTACCGCTTGAAGGACCGAAACTGGACTGGATTCTGGATAGTAGGTACATGGAATCGTTGTGAGAGTTTAGTTTTTTGAAAAATGTTAATAAACCACTTTGATTTCGTCTGGCGGCTGAGGGTTGCATGTTGAAGCGTCGGTAGAGGTCATCGTAGTTGTGTTGTAGATATAATTTTCGGGAGGAGGAATACCTGCCTTGAAGGCCAGGTACCGTACAAATTTACGCTGCACCTGCTCCAAGGCGTTGATGTGGACAGAATACATGGGTGACCAAACCGAGGGGTAGTACTCCAGGATCTAGAGAAGTAGAGTAGAGGAGCCTGATGGAAGAGATGTTAGTGAAGTCCCTTGAACACCTTTCAACAAAGCCCAGCAGTTTCAGAGACTGCTAGCGATATTCGAAATGTGGCTGGAGAAGCTTAACGTGTTATTAAAAATGACACCGAGATCACGTTGTTTGATGGGACACTGTTTCAAGTGGTTCATTGCTTATGTGGTGTACAAATTGTATAGGGCTTCGACTTTTGGAGAAAACGATAGCTTTACATTTAGAGGCATTGAGTTCCATGCCACTTGTGACACGCCATTCGGAAAGTCTCTCCAAGTCAGATTGTAGTCTGGCAGAGTCTTCGTGGGAGGAGACTTGGGCGAATATCTTTGTCATCAGCAGAACACAGAAACTCACTATTAATGAAACAAGAACTAATGTCGTTAATGAAAATATTGAATAGCAGGGGTCCCAGGTAAGATCCTTGTGGTACACCTGAAGGGATGTCAATGGGCTGTGAGCGGAAGTTGATGATTTTGACTGTTTGGATTCTGTTCCTAAGGTAGTCGCTGATCGACGCAAGCAGAGTACCAGATATTCCAATTCTCGCAAGTAGGACGTTGTGGTTGACACGGTCGAATGCGTTAGCAAAATCGGAATATATGGAGTGAACAACTCCACCACTTTCAAGAATCCCTGAGATCTTATCCTGGTACGTCAGGAGGTTAGTTTCGGTTGAGCACTTTGGTCGGAAAGCTACTTGCTGTTCGATTAGGCGAGGCTTGATGATAGGAGTTAAGAATTTAGTTACTATATTCTCAAAGACCTTAGGGATAGTGTTAAAAGATACTGATAGGCCTGTATTTGGTAATGTTCATTTTGTCACCGGTCTTATGGATGGGCGTGATAAAACTCCGCTTCCAAATCTCAGAAAATACCCCACTACTAAGATGATACATTGAACAAAATAAACAGAGGACGAGATAGTATAAAGCTACACCTGCTGAGCATCAGAGGGGGGATACCATCCGGGCCATGTACACGAAAGATCCGTAGTTTACACAGTTTCTTGTAAATAAATGATATGGAGATTTCAAAGTCATGAATGTGAATGTTACTATCTGAAATGCTGTGGCCAATAGCACATGCTTTGTCTGGGTAGGTATACAGAATGAAAGTATGCACCGAAAAGATTAGCTAGTTCAGGTCCTTTGGCGAATTTACCGTCATAAAACATGTAAGAAGGGAGTCCATAAGTCTGTTGTCTAGCATTGACAAAGTTCCAGAAATGTTTTAAATTTCTATCCCTAAGCTCTGAGGATATGACATAATTTGTATAGCAATCTTTGGAAAGAGTCTTACACTGAGCTCGAAGGTGTGAAAATTCAACATAGTCAGCAGGGGATCCCGTTTACTTTCTACTTCCAAGTTCTGTGGGCACTTTTCTTCTTAATTATCAGGTTCTTTAGTTCAGGAGAGAACCATCGTGGAAATTTATGGTTTGAGAGCTTCTTCTTTGGTACACAACAATCGATAGCCGTATAGGGAACGTCATAGAAAACTCTGGTCATTTCCGTCACATCGAGACCCCGGAGTAAGTCATCCCAGCGAACCATCCCAAGGTTATCGTTGAGTGGGAGTGTGTAATCATAGTACGTGTCAGGCTGGGGGACGTCAGCATTGCAGTGAGGTGACCTATTGCAGGTGGCAAAAAGTAAAGCAGGATGATATGCATCACTAGGGAGGATCACAGATTGGGAGGATAATGTCATTAGCTAAGAGACAAGTATCCTCGGGGTCCTGGGTGAAAACCAGATCAAGTAGAGTGCTACGAGCATTAGGGAACAGGTTGTGGTAAGCGCTCATATTGGATAAACATTCGATTCATTGACTTCACAATCAATAGAGCGCTTCGAATGTTAGGATTTGTGAAACGAAGTACAAGGGACCTCATGAATATTGGCTCCATCAAAACATTATGTTTTTCTCCTATGTCCGTACTCATCTTGACTTGAGTATACTGCATCAGTACAGGGCTGCGTTGAAACGTCCGACAAGGTAACTTACCCGATAAATGACGTCATGGACAAATCGTCGGGCGATGGTTAAACTGAACGCACTGGACGCTTGTTGCTTGTTTGTTGACGTTGACATAACCCCACTATTATACTGACCACGGAAAATGAAAAAATTGAAAAGTGCAAAAAGTACTGCTAATTGTAATTTGGGCATATTTACGTAATATTTAGGTCAAATTATTGGGAAGTACATAAATTCGGAATAATTTTTCCTTTTTTATTTTGTCAGTGTTAATCAGCTGACTGCCAACATTCCCAATGCGCAAGCCCATGTGTTCGAGTGGACGTAATGGCAAGTCGCCCGACGTTGAGTGAACGATATTCGGCGCGTCCGAGATCGTCCGACGTTCAAAGTGAACGCGCCCCAGAGTCCAAACTACACCTGCCATATACATCGACTTGAAAGTATACAGTGCAAATTCTTCAGATACTTGAACTACAGGTTTTTCAATACCAAGAATTTCATTATGCAAAACCTGCGCTGAACAAAATCTGTCAACCTTTTCCTACAGAAGAAAGCCTCGTATTTTCAGATTGTGCAATCAGCCGAGTGAGCTTGTGGACCATATGAACCATTTGCGAGTACTGTCACTGGCCTTTCATACGTGTAGTACTAGTTTTAGAGGGTGTCATGATGTGTACAATTTCTTCATGTTTATTTTCACTTTTATCTTACTTTGATATTGATATTTACTTATTGTTTTTTCTTATGGTAATGTAGTCTTTAGTTTTGAACTTGTTATATTATAATGTTAATTCTCAATTTTCTTATGATGGGCTTGACGCGTTAATAAATAAATAGTAAAATGCACTATATGTCCTAGAGATCTTGTAGATTAACACTGATAGTTTTTTTTGGTGAATCGGTTGTAGATACAATATTTGTATTTCACCCAGGGTGTGTAACATCACTTAAGAGTTTTGTATGCATTGAAGCTCATGTAACTCGTATAACATTTTATCTACGACCGCAAGTCTTGATGCAGGCCTTTTTCCTATCTCTGATTATTTTTGATTTTGATCTATAATACATTGATATAAAATGTATAGAACTTGTAAAATTCTTTCACCATGCAGCTCTGTTTCTAAGCGTTCTTGAAACTGCCAGAAATCTAATAACTATTTTAATCCCTGTTTAAAACAATTTATTCTCCTGTTGCAGGTCTGGGCGATATAGTGATGCCAGGTCTTCTCCTATGTTTCGTCCTGCGCTACGACGCCTACAAAAAATCTCAAGGTTTGGCCCCGCCTGGCTCTAAGCTGACCTACTTCCATTGTTCCTTACTAGGATATTTTTTGGGCCTCTTAACTGCCACCGTCAGTTCGGAGGTTTTCAAAGCGGCGCAACCGGCGCTGCTCTATTTGGTTCCGTTCACGTTGTTGCCGTTGTTGACAATGGCTTATCTCAGGGTAAGAATTGTCTATTTTAGAGGTTGATGTAGGTACTTTTAACTGTCAGAATAGAGGTGAAATTATCTTTTCACTGACTGGACTATTTCAATATATCCCTTCATCAAAGAGAAAATTGGTACAAATGAAACAGATTAATGTGCCAAAGGACTGTTGAGAAGATGTAGTGAACTTCAAGGAAAAAAAAACCATCTGCAAGTTTTTGGACTAAGACACAAGACGAAGATTATAAAAGAGCACAAAACAGATGCTAAAAAATTTCGATCCTCACATGCTGTCAAATACCGAACCATATCGTACAAAAACAAGCTATTTTTATCGTCTTGCTGATGTTACAACATAGAAGTTATGCATCACAAGAAATCAAAACTATTTGTCAGCATTGTATATTATATCTTACCCTTTCTTCTGTATTTTCAGTTGTCTTTGAAAAATCACGGCTCCCTACTCTCCTTTCCCTAGTTTTTCCTAATGTTTATTTAACTGTAAAGATGTGATCTTATGTAGGTATAGTCATCATCAATATTTTTTTCTTCAATAACCAATTATCTATATTTTTTAGGGTGATTTGAGAAGAATGTGGTCGGAACCTTTCAAGTCTTTAAGTGTGGCAAAACATTTGCAAGACGTGTGATAAAAACTGGATGGTACAACCGTTACTATATTGTAGGAAATATTCTACTGGGTACTAGACTCTCTGTCTCACGTAAAGTGGACAAACTGAATGTGAAAAGAGCGAATCATAATTCACACACAGACATTTTTTTTCAAATTGCCTAGTTTTAAGCGAAAAAAAAGAGAAATTATTCTTGGCAGTTCCTACGTTCCAAAATTTGTTAATATTTGAACAAAAAAAAAAAAAACTTTGTTGTAAAAGTTTAAGTTATGAACACATGACAATTATTCTTTTTAATTGGTGATATTTCCTCTTTGAACACCTTTACAGTGTGTTCGCAACATCAAACGAATATTGCATTTATTAAAGCGTTACAAATTGAAATATTATTATTATGCGAAGACTGAATTTATTTTGAACAATCAGACGAACTAAAAAAAAAAGAAAACAGAACAAAAATACTATTAATGACGACATGAAAACTTAATTATAGTCAAATAAGTAAATGTTGTAGAAATGTATTATGTTTGTTGAAACAATATGGTAAATTTTATACTTCAAATTAGATAATTAAATAATGACAGTTCTATCACTCTCTAGGCTTGCAAAAAAGTCAATATTATATTATATAATACTTCACAAGCTGTATAGTTATATAAAATTCTTTGACAGAATCTCTTTTTAATGAGTGTATTTATTTTACGTGATAAAAGTAATTCACTCATTTTCACAGCTCAAAGAGAAAATGTCCTTGTCTCATATTTAGTTGTTTTTCTGTGATAGGAATTAAAAGTCTTTCTATTTTGTTAAGTAAAAATTTCTGGTAGACTCATAAATTTATGGTTATAGGCTGGCTAGAAATGCTTAAATCGTTGATTTTTGCTCTACGCTTTCTAATCATCACTTTTAATTTCGATTTAGAATATTTTCCGTCAATATTAAAATTAATAAATTTTATAAAAGTTTCATGTACTGCTACCTACTAATTTAGAATGTAGTGTTGTGTTTTTATTTTTTGGTTCATTTCATTAATTTTATTATTATCATCATCTTTGTAAATATTCATTGATCGTTTAGCTTTTTAACAAAAAAAAAAAGACACAAAGAAGGCCATTTTGTTTTGTTTTTTTTTTTATAATGCATCATTGCCAGTTTTTGCAGGCATTTGAAGATTTCTCTTTACTAAATCCTCAAATGTCTTGATATAGTATCTGAAATAACATTTCTGCTCCTATGATTTTTTCATATTATTTATGATTAATTAATTGCTTTACATTACAGTGAAAAAATTTAATATTTAGCTTGTAAGTACAAGTACCTTTTTTTTGTGTTACATTGTTTTTTTATATCTAAAAATAATTTAAATTAAATTAATATACATAATATAACTATTGTTTTATTCAAATTGTTTTGTGCCAAAAAAAAAATATTTATAAGAAAACATATATTCCGATTCTAGCTAGTTTATTCTTTTATAATCTAATATTCATTAACGCAGCAACATTTTTCATTAACGCAGATTCCGTTCGATTCTCCTTTTCGGATGCATTGTTGGCGACAAAGTTCCGATTCGTATCCTGTAGATCCTGCGCATACGTCTTTTGGTTCATCTAGAATTTGAAAATAACTTCTAAAACAAGAATTTTCTAGGTTTAAATTTATGCTTATTCTGCAACTGACTAGGCCCGGTTTATTCATCTTCAGGTAAACTTGCTGGTAACTATCTTTTTTTTTTTTGAAACAAATCCTTTACCTGATCTGCAAGATGAATTTACAGTTCTATAATTCTATTGGTTGGCTGATAACTGGCCAACCAATAAGATTACAGATTTCGTTGTTATCCGCCAGATTGCATGTTTGACAGTTTATCAGAAGGTGAATAAACCAGCCCTAAAAGCAACAATATTTCTCAAAAAAACCAAGCAGTCTTAATAGTTGTATTCCTTTAATGAGTTTAAAACACTAGAGCTACTCGCTCCAGTGTTAGTCGACCCCGATTTGAAGGGAACAATCCGCAGGCTTTCGTGCATTTAAATGGTTTGATTCGGACTTCAGCACTTGTGGTGCAACAAACACTTTTTGATTTGATTTCATTTGATTTGTTTATTAAATGGACTTGTCATTTAGCTTTTACAATCTATCATAAATTACATTTAATGCACTAAAATATCAAAAATATATAACATCAAAATTCACTTAACAAAGTTAGATAAACAAAAATTAAAATTTTAAATACAATTACAAAAAATAGAATAGGATAATTAATAGATTCACCCAGCCTTTCCAGTAATTTAATACAATTTAAGAATTAACTGTTTAAGTCGCTTGAAACAAGGAAGATCAGTACAGAAAAGATCAGCACTACCACACTTTGAATTTGCCAGCCCACATATTCTAGACATATAGGAATATTTAACCCATAGTTAGTTCTATGAAAATCTATTGCAAATAAATCATGCTGACGGGTTAATATTTAGGGTATTCTAACATTAATATTACTTAACAATTCAGGGCTGTCGATCATGCCATTTACAATTTTGAACAAAGTAAGTATATCAAATTGAGTCCTAACTTCAACTTTCGTACAAATGTTGATAATTAATATCTTCCATGGGAATTCCCAGTTTAAAATTTATAGTTCTCAAAAATCGTCCCTGTACCTTCTCCAAGGAATCTTGGTATATAAACATTATACCAGGCTGGACTAGCATACTCCAACACTGATCTTACAAAACTACAATACAGTGTTCTAAAACACGTGACATCACGGAAATCAGTCAGTGTTCTATCTACAAAGCCTAACATTTTTATTGCTTTATTGCTCATATACCTAATTTATATGATAATCAAACCGTAGCTCACTGTCAATATAAACTCCAAGGTCTTTTATAACATTAACTCTTTCCAGTTGCTCATCATAGATTTCATTATCAAATGGAATGTTCTGTTTTCTTCTAGATACGGCTAAGATCTTACATTTCTAAATATTCAATTCCATACCGTTTAACTTAAAAAACAGGCACAGACTATTTAAGTCTTTTTGCAACTTGAGACAATATTCAGTGTTCCTTATAGTCTTAAATAACTTCAAATCATCAGCGACAAGAAGTTTACTACTGAAATTAATTTTAGAAACAAGATCATTTATAAAAATGTCAAAAAGTATTGGTGCCAAATGTGATCCTTGGGCACTCCAGATAACACATTACTATTGGATGATATCACATTCTTCTTCTTAACTGCTAGCGACCAGCGTTCGGTCTGATAAATAACTCTTAAACCAGGCCAGAATTGGACCATGAAAACCTATACACTTCAATTTGTGTAACAAAATATTGTGCTGCACCCTGTGAAAAGCCTTAGAAAAATCGGTGTAGACTGGGTCAATCTGATATCTGTCCTCCAAGGCCCTCGCCAGTGATTCAGTGTAGACCAGAAGGTTCGTAAGAGTTGAACGAACCTTAGCAAAACCATGTTGGGATGACGATAATACACTGTACACTAAAGGAGCTATCTTATTAGTTATAGACCGGTGCATAACGACCATTTTTTCAAAACGATTTTCTCCCGTCTGCCTTTAAGGGTGGTTATTCTTTATGCAGTAAGAAGTGGAATGGCTGAAATTTCAAAGAGCCCCGCGTGTGACAATACAATGATATACTAATTTGAAAATGTAATGAAAAGTGGAGATGTGGATCAATATTATCCCGTCTGCCACACATTGTGAAGGTAATTTTAACAAAAATTAGTAGAAGGATGCTAAATGGCGGAAACCCTGGGTTAGTATAAAGTGTCATATTACTAAATTCAAAATGTCACCAAAATTGGACATGTGGATCAACGACCCCTCCCGTCTGCCAAATTAAATTTATGTTACATTTACGATGTAATACATCAATAAGTAAGTGGCAGAAAATCTCGGTTGGTATAATAATATTTAACAATTTTTGAAGTTGTATCAAAATGCTGAGATGTTGAGACAATTTTCTCCCATCTGCCATTTGGAAGATAAGTTTGACATGCAAAGTAAAATCCAAAAAATATATTGGCAGATGTATCCAAGGCATATTAACAATTGGCAGAAACAATAAAAATGTCAAAATTTTTCAAAGTTGAGATCAATTTTTTCCCGTCTGCCAATAATTTATATTAAATTAGCTACTACTGAAAGCCTAAATTTCGACTGGCAGAAATTGCAGGCTGATACAAGTTCTCATAATTTATGAACAAAATTGGAACAAAAATTGTTCATATCATGAACGTTTTTAACCCGTCTGCCGTTTGTTTCAGTAAAAAGTAGTTATGGGAATATGCATAATCTCAATATGGCAGAAACCTCAATGAACTACATACGTTGCACAATTATTGTTAAATTGCTAAAAATGTTTATGTGTCCAAACAATGGACCTTTTGCACTCAATCAAAATTAGGTATATAATTTATCTGTAACGAAAGTGTATTTTATGTAGGTACTACATAAAAGTATGGTTGGTTAATTTTTTAAAAAATCTTTGGAAGAAAAAAAGGAGATTATTTGAATTTTGTGCCATATTTTTGCACAATCAAAAATCACTGATTGTCAAATTTCCATGTTCCAAACGATTCATTTTTTTTTTCTTTTTTAACACATCGGACAAAAAAGTAGACATACCGGGTGACAACGAAATCGTTATACAAGGCGTCATTTAGTTGTCTTTAAAGTTAAAAATTTGGAAATTGGGTGGAGCGGATAAGTTATTGAGACGCACATTTTTCGTAAAAAAACAATTGAATATCACTTCCGGTTACTCCGGAAATGGACCCAAGTCGAGAAATTTTTATCTAACCCTGTATATTTTTTTGCACAGTTGGATAGAACTTAAAATTCCCTTTCCAATAACATATCACAACTTGCATTTGTTTCCAAGATGGCGGCGTATAAGAAGGTATTTTTCTTAAATTCAATATGGCGGCATTCTGACGTAACCGATAATGTTTCTGTCAAACAAACACTTTTAACAATCCATAATTTTTAGATTTAAAATGGTTTTAGATCGAATTTGAAAACAAAATGATTTTGCTCAAAAACAAAAGGCATTTCAAAATTTCTTTAAAATGCAAATTTTAGTTTCAAATTTTCTAAAAATTTTGAATAGGAAAAGGTACTAACTAAATTCTAGAATTAAAGTGTGTCCAATGGCCTACCGAAAAATGTCTACCAAAATGCATATTCATTTTTCGGTTAGGTATTTAAAGGTTGGGTCAGAATGCCGCCATATTGAAATTAAGAAAGAATCTTCTCACGCCGCCATCTTAAAAACAAATTCCACTTATCATATGTCATTGAAAAGGGAATTTTAAGCTCTATCCAACTGTGTGAAAAAATATACAGGGTGCCATAAAAATTTCTTGACTTGGGTCCATTTCCAAATTAACCGGAAGTGATATTATTCAATTGTTTTTTTATGAAAAGTGTGCATCTCAATGACTTACCCGTTCCACCCAATTTTCGAATTTTTAAATTTAAAGACAACTGAATGACGCCTTGTATAACGATTTCGTTGTCACCCGGTATATACAGGGTGACACAAGGAATAGGGAACAACCTATAACTTTTTTAATATATAAGTTGAAAATTTGAAATTTGGGGAGCTTAATCGAGGCAACTTTTTGAGTTTTTTAGAAGTAAATTGCGTTACCAGTCACTTCCGGTTAAACCAAATTTTCAACTTATATAGGTATTGAAAAAGTTATAGACTGTTCCCTATTCCTTGTGTCACTCTGTATATCAAAATCGCTTTGTATATCGACTTTGGTACAGCCCTACTTTTGACTCGACTAGTATTGACAATTTTCTTTCCTTAATAAATGCGAATTAAACAAAGAAATCGATATCTGTACTAATCCGGCACAGTATAAAGCAGGACGCGCACTGAATCGACTCGGACCGGTCGACTCGGCGAAGAGCAGTCGGCAGTTTTTGATACTCATGCAATTAAATGAGGCTCAGTAAATGTGTTGCACAGTGTTGTCAAACGTCAAAATACTAAATCGGGAGAAACTAACGTTGAGAATCGATAGATTACAGCGCAAAATCGGTAGGTATAACACAAGGATAATACACACTACTAAGGATTGCTTATCGGCATCGATTTCGGTAATCGCGGCCATATTGGTGTATCACCATTACGGACGTCATTAACTAAATCGTCAGCTGTTTGCGCCAGCGGTCCTCCTAATTTAGAATTTAAATTTATGATTAAAAATATTATTTAATTTTGATTAACATAATAGGCAAAGAGGAAGATGCAAACGAGATCTGAACAGGAGTTCTTATTGTTAATAATGTAGTAAGACCAAGTATGGTATGCATAAGGTAAAAGACCGCAGAATCATAACCTGTGATGCAAACAGTGCCTATGTCAAGGCGAGAAACGACGTGCTGCCTACGTCACAACTGGTGATTTGGCGTAGTGGGGGGCTTTAGATTTGTTCTACACAGGTCTTATGAGGATATGCTATCCTGTAGTTGTAGTGTGTATTATCCTTGGGTATAACCAGTGAGTATAACATAAAAACTAAAATCCAGCCGTGCTTTCCTTTAAGCTTTCTATTTCGTTGAGTATGAAAAAGT